GCGGTTTGGCGCCTTCGTAAGTGTGCGGATGCACACGCTGTCTTCTGGCAAGTTTACGGGTATGAGGACCAATATTCGTTCCCTAGGGATGCGCCTGAGGTCGGACATTCCATCTTCTGTCCGACTTTTAGGGTACTACGTCCGGGTGTACTATGCCCGGCAACCACGGACTTGTTTTCGTTGTGGCCTGTTAAGGCATCAGGCTGCCGGGTGCACTGAGGCTACGACTGCTCCCGTGAACATGTTCAAGGAAGAGGATCTCCCGCCGCTCCCTCTGGGGGTGTGCTCCTGGGGTGAGGAAGTGAGCGTCCCGTTAGCTAATGCGGCTCCCCCTGCGTCGCCCGACATTCCTCCGGTTGTTGTGGACCCTACTCCAGGAATTGCAGTGCCGTCGGTTGATGTTTCTGCTCCTGTCGCTGTCCCCGCTGCTCCCGTGGGCCTTCTTGCTGGTCACTGCGAGGCGTCACCGTCTTCCTCTCCCTCGTCTTCTGCTGCTGCGCCTGGCCCTGCATCCTCGCTTCGTGTCCCGGCTGTGCTGGGTGCTGGGGTGGATTCAGCGCCTCATCCTGTACTTGGCCTGGTTCCCCGTGTGGTTGAGGATGCTGCCGTTCTACGACGAGCGTCGGTTCGCCCGGCTTGTATTGCGTGTGTCTCTGAGTCAGCCTCCAGATCTGATGATGTGCGGCTGAAGCCTAAGCGTTCCCGTCAATCTTCTGCTGCATGGGCTGATGTTGGTGAGTTCGAGGACTGTGGATCTTCCGGCGACGGAGGGGTGGCTCCGATTGCGTTGCAATCTACAGTGGTGGTGGTGCATTTGCCTGCGGGTGCCGGTGTTTCGGCCTCCCCTTCTGATGGGGTGTTTGCGGGTCCTGATTCGGGTGCGTCGCCTGTGTCGGATGGTTCCGGTTCCTCGTAGGGGTGATTCCACCTGCTGCGGTTCGTGGTAAGCGTGATGACCTGGTGGTGGTCTTGAAAAAGGCTGCTCGCTCTGGGGGGTCCGTGTCCCCTTCCTCGTTCCCCTGTTTCGTCGGTGGCGGTCTTGTCGCCTCTTCTGTCTCCAGCTGTCTCTTCTGTGGCTCCTGCGATACCGGTGGAGGTGTTACCATCACGTCAACCGTCACCTTCTTCTCCTGTGCGTTCGGCGGCATGGCCGTCTCGGCGGCCTACGTACGCTTCTTCAGTGTCTTCTGTTTCCAAGGAGTGTTTCGTGCTCCCCTGCCTCGTTATGCAACTTGCGCCAGTAAGCTTCGGGAGTGGCCGTTTTCGCTTGATTTGGCGATTCCTGAGTTTATGCAGGCCCCACTGCGGAAGGTGGATTCCCTACTGACATGGAATATTTGATTTGGGAGGCTTATGAGAAACGGTATCCTTGGGATGAGTTCCCTGAAAAGTATGCTCCTGCCTCTGGGAGTTAGGTTCATGCCCTGTTATTCCTTTGTTTGGCTGTATGTTGTGGGTTGTTTTCCATTTGTGTGCGAGGTTGTGGGGTGCGGGTTGTGTGTGTGTGAGTGGGGCGGGTTTGTTTTCCCGGTTCCTGCGTGCTTCGGTGTTTGTTATGTATTATGTATTACGATTATGTTTTCTGTATTGCGATTATGCTGTCCTTTTGTTTCTATTGAGTGTTTGTAATTTCCTTTAGTGTTGTATTTATTATCATTTTGTCTTGGTGCCTCTCCGTGTGTGGTTACGGTGCCGGTAGACTTGTTATGTATAATTATGTTCTGGTGTTTGGGTTGTTGGGTGCGGGTTTGGTACCGTGTGTTGTATTGTTGTCGTTTCTGTACTGTATTCCCGTGTTTGTATGTATTGTTGTTTTTGTGGTCGACCCTTCAGGCCGGTGTTTTGTGGGTGTGTACCTTTGTTATTTTGTACTTTTGTAAGTTTGTGCTTTGTCATATTGTGTTTTGTGCTCTGTTTTGTTCTAGTTTGATTTTTATTGATTTTAGTGTATTTATTGTATTTCTTCGCATGCTTGCATGTAAAAATAAAAATGAAAAAAAAAATTGACTTGGCGGGTCCACCCACATGGGAAGTACACCTGTGCACCTAGAACACCTGTGACACCTGTGCACTTGTGACACCTGTGCATGTTTACTACTTGCTTGGTAATCAATAAGCACAGGTAATAAGTTTATAAACATTTTTTGAACACACACACACACACACACACACACACACACACACACACACACACAAATCCAAAAGGAAAAATCCGAGAAGCAAAAGAAGAATCCATGGTATAATAGGACATGTATGGAAGCAAAGAAACTGAACAAAAGGGCATGGAGGAACTTCCGGAATAACAGAACACCAGAAAGCAGAGAGAGATACCAGAGAACCAGGAATGAGTATGTCAGGGTGAGAAGAGAAGCAGAGAAAAGTTATGAAAATGATATAGCAAACAAAGCCAAGACCGAACCAAAGCTACTCCACAGTCACATCAGAAGGAAAACAACAGTGAAAGAACAGGTAGTGAAACTTAGAACAGGCGAGGACAGGTATACAGAGAATGACAAAGAAGTGTGTGATGAACTCATCAAGAGGTTCCAGGAGGTCTTCACAACAGAGCAAGGTGAGGTCACTGTGCTAGGAGAAAGGGACGTAAACCAGGCGGCCTTGGAAGAGTTTGAAATTACGAGAGAGGAGGTCAAGAGACACCTGCTGGATCTGGATGTTAGAAAGGATGTTGGTCCAGACGGGATCTGGCTATGGGTACTGAAAGTGTGCAGAGGCACTTTGCTTGCCACTCTCCATAGTGTATAGTAGGTCACTGGAGACGGGAGACCTACCAGAAATATGGAAGACGGCGAATGTGGTCCCAATATACAAAAAGGGCGACAGGCAAGAGGCACTGAACTACAGGCCAGTATCCTTGACTTGTATACCATGCAAGGTGATGGAGAAGATCGTGAGAAAAAACCTGGTAGCACATCTGGAGAGAAGGGACTTCGTGACAAATCGACAACATGGGTTCAGGGAGGGTAAATCTTGCCTGACTGGCTTAATAGAATTCTACGACCAGGTGACAAAGATTAAGCAAGAAAGAGAGGGGTGGGTGGACTGCATTTTCTTGAATTGTCGGAAAGCCTTTGACACAGTACCGCATAAGAGGCTGGTACATAAGCTGGAGAGACAGGCAGGTGTAGCTGGTAAGGTGCTCCAGTGGATAAGGGAGTACCTAAGCAATAGGAAGCAGAGAGTTACGGTGAGGGGTGAGACCTCTGATTGGCGTGAAGTCACCAGTGGAGTCCCACAGGGCTCTGTACTCGGTCCTATCTTGTTTCTGATATATGTAAATGATCTCCCGGAGGGTATAGATTCATTTCTCTTAATGTTTGTGGATGATGCCAAAATTATGAGAAGGATTAAGACAGAAGAGGACTGTTTGAGGCTTCAAGAAGACCTAGACAAACTGAAGAAATGGTCGAACAAGTGGTTGTTAGAGTTCAACCCAACCAAATGTAATGTAATGAAGATAGGTGTAGGGAGCAGGAGGCCAAATACAAGGTATCATCTGGGAGAGGAAATCCTTCAGGAGTCAGAGAAAGAAAAAGACTTGGGAGTTGATATCACGCCAGACCTGTCTCCTGCAGCACATATCAAGAGGATAACATCAGCGGCATATGCCAGGCTGGCCAACATACGAACGGCATTCAGAAATTTGTGTAAAGAATCATTCAGAACTTTGTATACCACATATGTCAGGCCAATTCTGGAGTATGCAGCCCCAGCATGGTGTCCATATCTAGTCAAGGATAAGACTAAACTGGAAAAGGTTCAAAGATTTGCCACCAGACTAGTACCCGAGCTGAGAGGTATGAGCTACGAGGAGAGACTGCGGGAATTGAACCTCACTTCGCTGGAAGGCAGAAGAGTTAGGGGGGACATGATCACTACATTCAAGATTCTCAAGGGAATTGATAGGGTAGATAAAGACAGGCTATTTAACACAAGGGGCACACGCACAAGGGGACACAGGTGGAAGCTGAGTACCCACATGAGCCACAGAGACGTTAGAAGGAACTTTTTCAGTGTCAGAGTAGTTAACGGATGGAATGTATTAGGCAGTGATGTGGTGGAGGCTGACTCCATGCACAGTTTCAAATGTAGATATGATAGAGCCCAGTAGGCTCAGGAATCTGTACACCAGTTGATTGACAGTTGAGAGGCGGGACCAAAGAGCCAGAGCTCAACCCCCGCAAGCATAAATAGGTAAATAGGTGAGTACACACCTGTGTAAACATTTTATTGAGTTGATCACTACAACGCCCCCTCGCGTGAGCACCTTCTTGAAGGGGGTCGAGTCTTGACTACAGCACCGCTGCCTTATGTACATTGATTGATGCCACGGTCTGCGTTCGATCCCCTGGGGGCCTTGGAAACCATTCCTGCACTCCCCACTCATATCCCAGAGTTTTATGACTTTTTATGCCACAAATGAAACCTGCCATGCATGTTCTGTTCTGTTCTGCTCTCTCTCTCTCTCGCTCTCGCTCTCGCTCTCTCTCTCTCTCTCTCTCTCTCTCTCTCTCTCTCTCTCTCTCTCTCTCTCTCTCTCTCTCTCTCTCTCTCTCTCTCTCTCTCTCTCTCTCTCTCTTTCTCTCTTTCTCTCTTTCTCTTTCTCTCTTTCTCTCTCTCTCTCTCTCTCCTCTCTCTCTCTCTCTCTCTCTCTCTCTCTCTCTCTCTCTCTCTCTCTCTCTCTCTCTCTCTCTCTCTCTCTCTCTCTCTCTCTCTCTCTCTCTCTCTCTCTCTCTCTCTCTCTCTCTCTCTCTCTCTCTCTCTCTCTCTCTCACTCACTCACTCGCACACTCGCTCACTCGCACACTCGCTCACTCGCACACTCACTCACTCACTCACTCACTCACTCACTCACTCACTCACTCACTCACTCACTCACTCGCACACTCACTCGCACACTCACTCGCACACTCACTCGCACACTCACTCACTCACTCACTCACTCACTCGCTCGCACACTCGCACACTCGCACACTCACTCACTCACTCACTCACTCACTCACTCACTCACTCACTCACTCACTCACTCACTCACTCGCACACTCAGGAGCTGAGAAGCTTTAACCTGAGTGTGTCAATCTTGTGCTGCTGGAGGTACTTGTCGAGGTCCATGGTCTCCTGAAGGAGCTCCCTCAGACCGAACCAGGCGTCGATGTTCCGGGTGCCGAGGAAGGTGTAGCCGCGACTCTCCATGAACTCTATCACGGCCTTCACTCCTCCAGGGACGTGGTTCACCTCGATACACATCACCCGCACCTTCACCTTCTCCCAGGGCAGGGCCTTCATCACCTGCAGGAAGGAGGGGAAGGGCTGTCATCTCCTGTGGGGACAGAACCTTCATTACCTGCAGGGAGGGAAGAGGGTCTTCGTTACCTCTTTCTTCTTCTTTAGCGGTTTCCTACTGTCGGGGGAGAGGAAGCCTGTTGCGCTTATCATGGTGCCCGTTGCCAACGGTTAACTATTTCCCAGGACGCACCACCAACAGTCAACTAACTCTCAGGTACATATTTTGTGCTAAGTGAACAGAAAGAGAGAGAGAGAGAGAGAGAGAGAGAGAGAGAGAGAGAGAGAGAGAGAGAGAGAGAGAGAGAGAGAGAGAGAGAGAGAGAGAGAGAGAGAGAGAGAGAGAGAGAGAGAGAGAGAGAGAGAGAGAGAGAGAGAGAGAGAGAGAGAGAGAGAGAGAGAGAGAGAGAGATGAAGGCTCTGGCACTCAGTTGGCTACAGGCTCATCCTGTTCCTTAGATGATTGTTGCTTAATGTTGTTAATGAATAAAAGTTATTCCTACTGATGCATATAACAATATAACAGGCTCATGAAATAAATGGGCCTCTAGGAGTAGGCTTCAACTTAGCTGAGGAAGGATTACAGCTCTTGCTTGCAGTTTCACCAGGTTCCTTATAGGATAGTTTCCTATGTGATAGTTTCAAAGTACATTCTCATTAAATAAATGAGTTTCTAGGAGCAGTCTTCAGATGAGCTTGACATCCCTTATGAACCCTTGTCTTAGACACAGAAATCACAATAGCATGATATATCAAATGAACAAATCCACAAGGGCCGTGATGAGGGTTCGAACCTACGTCCGGGATGATCCCAGACGCGCCTTAGTCGACTGCGCCACGACATGGTTAAAAGAATTGCAACCTGGAGTGCTACTGCCCTCACAGGGATCCCGCAACTTCTCCGAAGCACAAACCGAGGTTTCACTCAATTTCCCCCCGTGCACCCGGGCTCTGTCAACCAGATGCTCTACCTCTACGCCCTTACTTCAGTACACACAGAAATCACAATAGTGTGATATATCAAGTTAGCCCGGGTGCACGGGGGGAAAGGTTGGAAACCTCGGTTTGTGATTCGGAGAAGTTACGGGATCCCTGTGAGGGCAGTAGCCCTCCAGGTTGCAATTCTTTTAACCATGTTGTGACGCAGTCGACTAAGGCGCGTCTGGGATTATCCTGCACGTAGGCTCGAACCCTCATCACGGCCCTTGTGGATTTGTTCATTTAACCCTAGTCTTCGTTTAAAAAATAATAATAATAGAGAAAGAGCGTCGTTTACAGAAAAGCCTGTATATTTACCCTCATCTCGTGGCCTTCAATGTCGAGGGAGAAGAAGTCTATGGTGGGGAGGTTGATGGCGAGGAGCACGGTGTAGAGGGGGAAGCAGAGGACGGTGATGGCGCCCTCCTCGCCCTTCTGGACGCCCTCCCAGATGCGTCCCTCGCCCTCCGCAGACCTTCCACACAAGAGGGTCCGGTGTGTCATGCATACGTCAGATAATTATCAGGAGGAGGCGGTTAGTCTATTCAAGTACATAGCAGCATGGAAAGGATATGAGGATAAGGATTTATGATAGGACGGAGGGAAGGAATGGTGCCCAACCACTTGGACGGTCCTGGGTTGAACACAAACCTGGAAGAAGGGATACCGCCGCTCGGACGGGAGACATCTCCCGTCCACGAGGTTAACCATAGTCCGTGCTTCTTGCCCCGCTCCTGTCCCAGGTAAGTTACGGGCTCACCATAGCCCGTGCTAGTTGGAACTTGTTCCGAGTAGCTGAATCTCTAACAACAACAAACACCCGCCGCTCGGCAACCTAAGCTCTGACGTTGGGTTGAATAGACGACAGCTTAAAAGCAACATGCAAACTATTTAGATTTGTTTTTATACATAAAATCTGAATGATGGTTTATATCTGAGAAAGCGAACTAAATTGATTAAATGTTAATGAGTGAAAATGTATTTGAACTTGGCCGCCGCCACCACGTATGACGCCCCTGAAGAAACTGCCACCGAGTCATCATGACGCCTCGCTACACAACTGTTGTGGCTGTAGAGCTGCACTCGGTGCTCCTCGAGGCTGGTGGTTCCCTGCAGGACTCCAAGTGGAAGAGGTTGTGTGCTTACCTTACAGTGACTAGGGAAACGCGAGGTCTAGCTCTGTATGCCCCGCCTACTACCCCCTGATGCATTATAATTAAACCCTTTTGACGTTCGAATTCACTGTCGAATTTGGCTTCATGTTGTGAGTGGAGGTGGCTTCCACGGCTTCTTCCTTCAGTGCATTCCACCTCTCACTGACCAGTGCAGAGTACGAGTATTTCCATACATTTCTTCCACTTATTTGTGTTTCCATCTTCCATCTCTGTCATCTTGTTCTACTTTCTTTCAATTTAATTAGGCTGTCCGTGTCCACCTTGTCTATTCCGCTCAGAAAACTTGTATACTGTGATCATATCCCCTCTGTCTTCCTCTCTACGACTATGAGAGTTACTCCCCCTTAAGCTATCTTCGTAGCTTAAGCCTCATAGTTCTGGCAATAATATTTTTTCAAATTTCTGCACATTTTCAATTTTGGGGCTGTGCTTCGCAAGACGTGACTTCCAGGCCGGGGCTTCATATTCTAGTATTGGTCTCACAGACGTTGTGTAAACAGTCTTGAAGGAGTCTAGTATTGCTTAAAATGCTCTTCTTATGGTTACCAGCGTCCCACTGGCTGTCATGTTACATTGTTTATGTGTACAGTTGTTGTTAGTCTTGGCCATATATCATATTGAAAATCTTTTTCACTTTTCAGATTTCTGTAGTTGCTTTCCACTTATAGCGTAGATTTCTTCTGGTCTCCTTTCCCCCTTTCCCATCTCCATTACCTTACACTTGTTGGATGTTAAACTCTAACAACCATTTGTCTGCCCACTTCTTGAGTTTATGAAGGCCTGTCTTCAATTTTCTGAGTCCTCGGTTTTTACTTTCCATCATCTCCAAACATTCCGAATGTTTACTATTAATACAATGAGGACGAACTAATTTCCTTGGGTAGGGGATAATATATGTATTACAAAGGCAACAACAATAATGGAAGCCGCAAGAATAAGAGCAGAAAAAAGGAAGAAACATAGCTACAGGAACAACAATAAAACCAAAGGAAACAAGAAGAGCAGGAGTGCGCTCAACAGTAACATGATTGTATCATCATCATCAATAAGGTTAACAACGGGAGAAGAAGCAGCAGCATCCTCAACAACAACACTAAGAACAGTTGCAATATATTCAACAAGAAGCGACAACATCTGTGGTACAGTGAACGGCATCAACATAAAAAACAAATAAAATATTAAGAGCAGTAAGAGCAACAGCAGTGTTGAGAGATGGTTCAACCACTGCAAACCACCTCAAGTCCATCATCACCCAGCAAAAATCTGCTATCGGAATAATAACAAACTCTGCTTTCAGACAAAACTCAGCCCCCTTGTTTAACTCCCTAAACTTGCTAAATATTAACTCCCTTCACACATTCTCTTGTGTCAACTACATTTACAAAACCCTGTTCTTAAATGCAAATCCTGCTCTGAAACTCTCCCTGGACAGATGTAATAGGACCCATTATCACCACACCAGAAATAAATATCTCTTTGATATCCCCAAAGTCAAACTTAATCTGTGTAAACACTATGCAAATAAAGGGACCCACTCTATGGAACTCACTCCCTAATGAATTGAAAAGCTGTCCAACTTTTGCATCATTCAAAAACAATACCAAAAAGTACCTAATTTCATCTTCATAGTTCCCTACCTTGTGCTGTAAAATTGCACTGTATCTAGTGCTACCCAATCTCCCAATCTTTATGTATCTAATCCAAACAACTTTACCATTGTGATCATTGCTGTCTTCTTATATGTGCTATCAAAATGCTGTATTGTGCCTATTAAGCTTTGTTAAATTACCAATCAAGCTGTCAATCCAATCAAACAGAGCTACCGATGTGCTTTAATATACCTACTAGTCTCTCTCTCATCTCATTTTTTTTCTTGCAATGTATCTGTTATCACTTTATAAATTTTGCTAGAATTTACCTACTTAAAATTATCTGTTAGATTAAGGACCTGCCCGAAACGCTGCGCGTACTATAGTGGCTTTACAAGAATGTAAACACTATGCTATGTATCCTCAGAAACCCAATGTACCTTCTTGTATATATATATAAATAAATAAATAAATATGCATCGTGAATGAGATCGGCAAGATTGTGGCCACATACCTGAAGGTGGCGAGGGCAGAGACCTTGGAGAGAGAGACTGCCGCGTTGATGGAGTAAGCCTTCCTGTTAAGGTCGGAGAGCCTCTGGAAAAGTTTGGGGTCCGGCTCGATCAGCAGGCCCGACCAGCCGCGGTACTTCTCGAAATACAGAGTGTTGCTATGGTCTTCCCCGTCCAGGGCTCCCATCTCCAGGAAGAACCCTCCGCCCTGCACAAAAACACTCGCTGGGATCAACAGGAAAGGACACGTGAAATAAGTCTTCAAACGCATGATTAACCACCATGCTACCAGGAGGCAGAATTACAAATGCAAATATAATAATGGTAGCCAATTGATATTTACTAAAGAAGCTTTACCAGAAAAACCTTACCATTCCATTAAGAAAATTTTCTTCAGCAAAAGCGCTCTGGTCGTACTGGGAGAAATGTACTTTTGTTGGGTTGGTGAGATTGTAGGCTTTTGTTGAGGGGGGAATGATGAGCTGGCGGACGTACGACACCAACGCTGGGTCGTCCTGTTCCAAACCAGCGAAAGTCTTGTTGGTAAGTTGTCGTACGGCATCGTCGCTGTTTACAGGCAACTGATGAGTTTGGAAGTAAACTCGTTCAGGCAACGTCTGCTCCTTCACCAGGGAGCTCTCTGAAAGTATACACACAATTTCAACATATTCGTACATAATTATCAACACATTTTAATCATACAGGCTTGTTAAAATGTTAACGAAAATTGAATTAGAACTTGGTTAAATAATTAATATATCGATGCAAATAGCTTTGTTAAATTATTACATTTGAAATTACAATGTAATTAAATATTTAAAATTATTTAAATACAACTTTTTAAAAGTATAAAATCTTTTTCTAAGATATAAAATGCATTCGATAGAACATAAAATGCATATACAAAATAAAATAGTGTACATTTGTCAAAATACAAAACGCATACATTTTCCTCGTATAAAATTAAAATTAACATTAGTTCCACTTTGCCAAAAGATTATGTCTGAAAGTTCACGTTTATAGGCCCGTTAGGCTATGCAACAGGACCCCGTTGAATGGAATTTGACCAAACTTGTCATAACTGCAGATGGCCTCCATACAGGCCTATAGAAACCCTCACACCAGAAATAACTAAGTCATTATGACTACAAAACACATGACAGGGATGGGAGGACAAGGAGCTGGGATGCGAGGATGAAGCAGTACAACGGTGTCAAGCCTCTTGGACCATTGGAGATCGAACGCTGATCCTTCAAGAAGCGCGAGCGTCCCTCAACCAACCAGCCCAAGTGGCGTAGGGGTGCCACAGGGCAACATCCTAGGACCTCTCCTATTTCATATATACATCAATGATCTGCCTAATGTCTCTAACATGTTTAAACCTATTTTGTTTCCTGATGATACTACTCTCATCTACTCTGACCCCAACCCACTCATATTAAATAATGTTGTAAACAATGAATTAAAAAAGTCCACTTGTGGATGTCAACCAACAAACTCACACTAAACATAGAAAAGACCTACTACATCTTATTTGAAAGCAAATCAACAAATGCAATTCAGCTTCAGATAGATAATGTAAACATTAGCAATAAAAATGATGGAATGTTCCTTGGCCTGTACTTAGACAAGAGACTCAACTTCAGCACCCACATACAACACATAACTAAAAAGGTTTCTAAAACAGTTGGTATACTCTTTAAGATCAGATATTATGTACCGTACTCTCCTCTCCTCTCACTCCATTATGCACTTATCTATCCCTATCTTACTTATGGTATCTGTGCTTGGGGTTCAACCTCTGCAAACTACCTCAAGCTTATCATCACCCAGCAAAAATCTGCTATCGGAATAATAACAAACTCTGCTTTCAGACAACACACAGCTCCCCTGTTTAAATCCCTAAACATGCTAAACATAAATTCACTCCATACATTCTTTGTGTCAATTACATTTATAAAACTTTTTTCTAAAGTGCAAATCCTGCTCTGAAACTCTCCCTGGACAGATGTAATAGGACCCATTATCACCACACCAGAAATAAATATCTCTTTGATATCCCCAGGGTCAAACTTAATCTGTGCAAACACTATGCAAATAAAGGGACCTAGTCTATGGAACTCACTCCCTAATGAATTGAAAAGCTGTCCATCTTTTGCCTTATTCAAAAATAAAACCAAAAAGTACCTAATTTCATCTTCATAGTTTTCTACCTCGTGCTTTATCTCGCACTGTATCTAGTGCTACTCAATCCCCCAATACTTGTACCTAACCCATATTATGTTACCATTGTAATCTTAGATATCATCTGATATCATGGTTGTTGTGTTGAGTGCATGTCTACTGCATTATTCCTTGTAATGATCCTCATATTGTGCTTCAGTGAACCAATGTATAACCCTGAAATGTTATCCTAATTGTACCTAGTAATCCTTGTTCATTATTGTGTATTGTTGTTATTGTGTATTATTCTAATCTTTGTTTTTGTGTCAAAATGTCTTGCAATGTACCTGTAAGAATTTTTTATCAATTTCATTGTAATTATTCTACTTAAAATTATCTGTAACTGTAAAGTAAAGCTGTAAAGTACCTGTAAAAAAAGTTTGTCAATTTTGCTGTGAATTATCTTAAAATTATCTGTCAATAACATCACATGAGACCAGAAGACATGGCAGGATGTGCAGAATACCCCCGTTGAAAAACAGAGGTGCAACTGGTACTCTGAGAGAGAACTCTATCAAAATCAGAGGTCCGAGACTGTTCAACACGCTTCCACTACACATAAGGGGCATAACTGGCCGACCCCTCACAGTGTTCAAGAGAGAACTGGATAAGCACCTCCAAAGGATACCTGATCAACCAGGCTGTGACTCGTACGTCAGGCTGCGAGCAGCCGCGTCCAACAGCCTGGTTGATCAGTCCGGCAACCAGGAGGCCTGGTCGACGACCGGGCCGCGGGGACGCTAAGCCCCGGAAGCACCTCAAGGTAAGGTAACCTCAAGGTAAGGTAGTTTAAGGACTTGCCCGAAACGCTATGCGCACTAGTGGCTTTACAAGAATGTTAAATCAACTTAACTTCTATGTTCTCTGTTAAACCCCAATGTACCTTCTTGTATATAAATAAATAAAATAAATAAATAAATAAAATATTATTTACTATATATAATAACAATAATTCACTGTATTGGGGGACAGGAAGCCAGAGTGCATTCAAATCAAATCAAATCCCCAGAAGGCAGCTAAGTTCTCAGTGACCCAAATAATAATAATAATAATAATAATAATAATAATAATAATAATAATAATAATAATAATAATAATAATAATAATAATAATAGTAATTTATTTAGGAACAGTACATACATAGTTGCAGCGTTACAGTACAAACATTCTGTTAGATTTAAAGAAAGAGCTAGTACATACAATACCTAAAGCCACTAGTACGCATAGCGTTTCGGGCAATAATGTGATAGAAACAATCAAGACCGACCCATTTTAGCTAATTTCGACCTCACTAGTGTTGCTCCTCGGAGGAAGCTGCACTGGCGTTCACTGCTACCACATCAACGAGTCTTCCCTATTGTGCCAGCCTACATTTATCCTGCTACCATGCAGAACACACCCACGGCCACTATGGAAGACAGCACACCTATCAGGAATAATCCTAGCAACAGGAATAATGCAGCGGTCCCTCCCTCTGGACATCACACAAGAAACCACTGGAGGGAGGTATCGACTCCTTGACAACAATAACAAAACATCAGTTGGGTGGAGCGACGTCAGTGACACGGGCCATGCGTCAATAAGGAGGGGGGGGAGGGGATTAGATTCAAATATGCCAAAAATGAAAACTGGTTCGATTTCAATCAAACTTTTTTGACGTGTTGTATATAAAAAGGGTTCCATCTGGTCCAAGTTTTGGCATCTTAGCATTAATAGGAAGGGAGAAAAAATATTGAATTATGTGTCAAAAATTTTTACAAAATGGTCAAAAACGATTATCAAACACATGTGTCAACTGAAATCATGTCTATGACTCTCAGCTATCATAATAGTATATATTAAAAATATATATAATTAGTTTTATTAAAAAATTAAATTAAAAAATAAAATTTGGATTTTTTTTCTTTTCAATTTTTTTTTATTTCTTTATCAGACGATTTGCATGAAACTTATACACCTGACTGCACGTAAGCCTATCTGTAAGGGTGCCAATTTTAGAGAAAATTGGTTGATGTAAACCTCAGTCACAGATGGCAGCACCTTAGACTATTACTTTCTTATTTATTTTCAAGTAACATAAAAATTCTTATAACTCTTTAATTTTTTATTCAATTTACATGAAACTTACAACTTATATGTAGAGTGTATATCTCTAAAATCTGGCACAAGCTTTTCTTCCTAAGTTCATTTATTGATTTTATAATAGCAATAAACATGATGTATTTGCATAATTTTTTTGGGGGGAGAACTTTGACTATTTGCATTAAGAAAACTAAAGATGTTTTGGAAAATCCCTTCCTACAAATCCTTTATTATATGCTAATGTGACAGAAAAGTGTCATAGAATGAATATACCTGAAAGGTGTGGTTGTTTATAAACATTTAAAAATGTGTAATATTAGTTGACAAAAAAAATTAAAAATTAAAAATTTCCCTTTGTATCTAGGCTGCAGTACTGAAACTTAAAACAATTGCAGCCCTTTTCATGTACAACTAGTCACAAAAAAGATTTGTTGACATTGAACAACTTTTAAAAAACTGACTGACGCCATCTTAAATTAAATAAATAAATAACCATATGGATCAACTTAAACGAGCTGCCGCCCCTTGTTCTGACTTCAAGCGCTTTTTTGCTGTACCTGAGTGTATCTCTATTTAATCTACCTCATTTTGTTTTAGTGTAACTTTAGTAAGTAACTATAGTGTACTTATAATATTATAGTGAGTAAGCTATTTGTTTTTAGAATTATTAATTGCTATTTGTTTTTTATTGGTCATCTATTGTTAGTAATTATTTTAGTTCATTTTTACTTTTCTTAAGTTCCCATTAAGTTTATTTTACTTAAATTACCATTAAGTTTATGAATTAGAAATTTTATTCTACTTTTTCTTTGTAACCCAGGTTGCCCAGCCTCACCACCCTTGCTCCATTGTGCTCTTGGCTTTGCCTGTGTCTCCTAGCACAAAGTATTACCTTCAGTGTACCTGGAAGTACCTTTAAGCAACCTACCTCATTTTGTGTATAGTTTTATATATTCTGTTTTTCTGTCATATCAAGTTCTTTTATTATTGTCTTTTTTGGCTTTTTATGTAAAACAGCCCTCTTATGCAAACTATTTTAGACCCAGACCTTAACCTCTTATCTAGTATCTATGACAATCATCATTTTACTGATCAAAATTGCAGGTATTATACAGCACATGACGTAAATAATGTTGTAACGTGTAATCACAATGTTTCAATAATTAACTTGAATGTAAGATCTCTAAGCAAACACTTTGATGATGTTAATGCCCTGATTCAAACAGTTGACAACAAATTCTCTTTTGTTGTGTTTACTGAAACATGGTTAAAAGAAGACACTACTCAACTCTACAACATACCTAACTACTCAGCTATTCACAACAGTCGTCCTATACAAAGAGGTGATGGTACTTCTCTTTACTACCACCAAGAACTGACTTGCTTAAAAGTAATTAAATCTAGAGACCCTTATGTAGAGTATATATTTGCCTGTTTCGGAGTCAAGGGTAGCGATGCTGTCCTGACTGTGGGAGCAGTCTACAGGATTCCTAACACTGATGTGACTGAATTTAACTCTAACCTTAGAAATCTAATACTAGAGAACAGACTGAACAAAAACCATCTAATTATTTCTGGGGACTTTAACGTTGACCTCTGCGAGCCTGATAACCCTCCTGCTGTTAGTTTCCTCAACTGTATGAATTCCTGCTTCCTTATACCCTCAATCACTAGACCAACTAGAATCACTGACAGTACTACCACGGCTCTTGGTCACATCTGGACCAACATAACCTCTCCGCTTACTTCAGGGATAATCGTCGATAGCACTACAGACCATTACCCCACATTTCTCCTAACCAACATTAACAAACTACCTCTAGAGACAAGGGAGATAAGCTTTAAGCTGTACAGTGAAACTGCTATAGGCAATTTTATAGCTGCTGCTGCTAATATCAACTGGGAGTCCGAATTAGATAACACAGGGGACATCAACCTAGCAGTGCAATATTTTCTTCAAAAAACTCTCAGCCTTTATAACACCCACTTTCCTATGCTAACGAAACAAGTCACAACTAAAAGGCTAAACAATCATTGGCTTACAAAGAGGATACTTAAATCCATTAATAAAAAATATTACCTTGAGAAGAAGTATAGGTTATGAATCGTCTCCAAAGAATTTTCAAAGAATTATTCATCATTGCTATCTAAAATAATTAGGAGAGCCAAAATTAAATACTACGACGATAAATTTACCCAAACTAAAGGCAACATTAAGAAATCATGGAGCACAATTTTACAAATATTGGGATCAAAGAAGATTTTAAATAACAAACCAATACTCCTGTCCAATAACGATGGTCTACTGTCAACCTCTGATAGCGCTATTGAGTTCAATAGGTTCTTCTCTTCCATTGGGTCATCTCTTGCAAATAATATTCCATCTTCCAGTACTGATGTTCAGGACTATCTTACAGGTAACTATCCACAGTCTCTGTACCTAACGCCTGCAAATTCCACTGATGTTAATGAGATAATCCTTTCCCATAAAACCATGTCTAGTGCCCTTGAGGAGATACCAATTCTAATTTACAAAAAAGCCTTCAGATCTTTAGCCCCTGCTATTGCATTGCTCTTCAACAAGTCACTTGAACTCCAAACCTTTCCAGATATTCTAAAAAAAAGCGAGAGTAACCCCCTGTCCACAAATGTGGTGATCTCACTGATGTTAACAACTTCAGACCTATATCAATTCTGCCAAACTTGTCAAAAATATTTGAAAAACTAATCTACAGACAGCTTTACTCTTATCTAGCCAAACACAATATACTAAGCTCTTGTCAATATGGCTTCTGACCCCAAAAAAGCACTAACAATGCACTTGATACATGCACTAACGCACTAATGATAATGATAATGCACTAACAATGCACTCAGTATGATTAACTTGATACATGCAGCTCTTGATAAAAATGAGTTCCCTGTTGGGTGATTGTAACCTATCCACCGCTGCCCACTGGATGGGGGGGGGGGGTGCAAGACAAACATATAAATTGTGACACTAGCTCTCCACATGTCAGTTGCTTAATTTAGAAACTGTACTTGTGGTCGATCTCGAACCCATTGCTGTGACAATGTGTATTGAATTTTGTAACTAGCTCATTAAGATTGTAACTTGCTTAGCTAAATGAATTGTGGGGTTCAGTCCCAGAGCCCATTATGTGCCACTGTAACCCTTTCCATTACCGCCCACAAGATGGGTATTTGATATTCCAAGAGTACGACTTAACCAAACTAGAAATGTTCTACAAATCAAGGGACCCAGAATGTGGAATGACCTTCCCAATCATGTTAAAGACTGTACCTCTCCCAACCAGTTTAAGATAAAAACTAAGTACTACCTAATTAACTCTATGTAACCTATCTTACCCATAAATGTGAACCCGTGTCTACTGTTTTAAACAATGCTGTTTTGTTGACCAAATTGTATATTTACGATTTTTCTGCTATATTCCCCCCTTTTTTATTTATTTTCTCAACGCAATTTATACCTTAATCTCAATTAGTATTAAATTTTAGTCTAAGTGTTTTTCCTGCCCGAAACGCGTTGGGCAGGAAAAGTACATACAAAGCCTAAAGTGGCTTTAGGCATTGTATGTACTAGCTCTATCTATAAAGTCATCAATGTTTTGTATCTCACCTTGTATGTGTGTACCTTACCTGAATAAACATTTGATATTGATTTGATTTGATTTGAAATCAAATCAAATTCATTTATTAATTCATTCACGTTAGGCTTTTATCAAGGCTTCACCCTCACCGTGAGGGTGACAGTGAAGGGTGAGCACCCCCTCCCCCCTCCCGAGTAAGACACCCCCCCCCCTCTCCTTCGTCACTGACCTTGAGGGTGGAGGACGAGTACCGTCCCCCCGAGGACGACACCAGCGGCTGCCACCCACCGCCTACAGGACCGGCTCCCGCTCCACCTGCCCTTGGAGACCAACATCTGTGATGGGGAAGTCAACATTATGTGACTCTTGGTCAGGAGAAGCAATGCCATTCAAAATTGCACATAATGAAACGTGTAGCTGTAAGATACATGTGACACACTGTATCATACAGTGTATCAAACAAAACACACTGTGATACACACTATATCAAACAAAATGGGGATATAAATTTGATTAATTGTCGGTTGGCCATTACAGATAAAACTATGTAACACAATTATTGTCCCTGGTAGTAAGTGTTTTTTCTAATTATTTATGTCTCCAAAGTAAGGAAAATGGCTATTATTTCCCCCCCCTGAAATTTTACCTTGATCCTTGCCACAAACAACTTAGGGAAGACGTCTTGAAGGGTACTTGAAGGCTGCCGACTTAGGCTGCGACCAACTGTTACTGTAAACTTTCCTCCAGGGCTGGTATCTGGGATTTAATTTGCGTAGAGACAGCTAAGACAACTGGAACCATCCGACTGAACATAAAGATATTGTCATGGTGGGGGGGAGAGTTCCCATACAAACCACTCGTCCTCTTAGACCCTCGTTATCCTCCCACTCGTCCTCTTAGACCCTCGTTATCCTCCCACTCGTCCTCTTAGACCCACGTTATCCTCCCACTCGTCCCTCATAAACAAAGGCCAAATGCCTTTCACTCCAGGACTGAAACCCACCTTACACACGGATCACACCCAGTTAGTTCCTCAGGAGGACGGCCGCCCCCCCCATACATACATTCGTCAATATATAAACACACGTTGCGGTCAAAATTTGTGCTTTTTTTCAAATATAAAATAGTAGATAAGGTGGCCGGCTGTGCCCGGGTTGACCCCCAGAAGGTTGCAAGGTGTTGGGTGCTCCAGAATGCAACTCTGCCTTCAGAATGTGCAGCTTTTCATGTCAATATCTGAATTCTGTAATATTATGGGCAGGTGATAAAACTATGACCGAACCGTTGTATTTTGTAGTATACTCGACCCAAGGACAAAAATTGTCGTACTAGAAATGGTAGCGGCTCGCGACGGAAGCTGACATACTGTCCCGTTTTCTGTTTTGGGTCTTCTGTTAGATTAGGATAAGGGCATTTTAGTACGACAGTTTCTTGACGTTGGGGAGCCATAGGAGGGCGGGCTGCGATGATACGTTCGACTGTCATCACTGCTGTCAGTAATATTACTGTTTTAAATTTAAAACACTACAGTGTATATTTTAAAACATGTACTGTAATTTGTATGTAAACTTACCCAACTATAAATACGAACAAGCTTGAATGGGTCCCAGGCCAATATGCAACTGAAAACTCCACACCCCAGAAGCGGTTCAACTATAAATGTTTTACCTTTTATGAATAAACTTTTGATTTAATGTTGGTATTAGGATATTATTACCAGAATTATTATTATGCTAAAGTTGGCTTCTGGGCCCGTATAGATCTGGGCTGGTAATGGGCAGTATAACTTCTGAGTCTGGGTGCAGGGGCTACTTCCAAACTGTGGCTCAGGAAGACTTACTCTACCCAGTACAGAATTAACATTTCCATTTTCTAGGCCATAAATTACCTTCCTTTGTTGGACGTCACTATTATTTATTAAGCTGGAAACCACTCACCTCCGTGGAGTGCCCTGTGTCGTCACCTGTGGGATATACGGTACTGACGAAAATTGCCTCAGCCAGGCAGCAATTACGTAACTAACATTCTTGTACAGCCACTAGCAAGCATGCGTTTCGTGCAGGTCCTTAATCCTAAATTTCTCCGGAATACGATCAGCCAAATAGTTTAACAACTAGGTACCCATTTTACTGTTGGGTAAACAGAGGCTACAGTTAAGGAATGGAGGCCAGTAAATCCTCCCCGGCCAGGATACGAACCAGACGCGAAATGCCAGGCGAGTGTCTTACAGCTACGCCACGGGGTCCGTAACTATGTTGATCTTCCCGGAAGGGAAGATTACTGAGCAGACTTTCCTGGACTTGAGAGTGGAGCTGACGTGTCAATGCTAATTTCATATCATAGAGATTGTTGTGGGCCAGCTCTTAAATACACTGTTGTTATGTACATTAGGCTGTGTAACTAGCTTATCAACATTGGATAACTTGCTTAGCCAAATGAATTTTGGGGATAAAGTTCCTGGACTCACTATGTGCCTTAACGTTTCACCACTATCATCCACAGGAGAAAATAAACAATTACAGCCCCGCTCCTGTGCCAGGTAAGTCCACTACGGGCTCACCATAGCCCGTGCTACGTGGAACGTTTTGTTCCCAATAGCTGAATCTAAAACAACAACACAACACCCACAGGATGGCTGATAATAATTGAATTAACTAAAATTAAAAACTAAAACTTGAATGAGAGGACAATTTCATGGATAACAAACAAATTAATTATGCCATGAAGTTATAGAGATTTGCACACACTCCGTATTTTACATCAACAGATTTTAGAGCTCGCTGGGTGTAAATCACTTTGAACAGTGTCAAGTATTGTTGCTCTGAGTAGCAACTCAAAGTGCCTCATTGGATTTTCCTTACATTTTCTGATGGAGTATTTGCATATATAATCACATTATAATCACATTTGTATTACAAGTTGTAGAGTGGAAAATCAATAGCTGGTATATAGCACACACACAATAAATACTCAATTAGATGAGACTGGCAGCACTTCTTCTCAACCAGTTTGTATACAGACTGCCAGCTGGAGTGTAGGCTAACCTTGCTGGCCTACCAAAAGCACCACCTGATAGTTTGCCTCTAAACATTACTAGTGATGAATCTCTCGTGACCTTGATACACGAGGCTGCGTTTAGCTGCAAAAGTTTCTCATATATGCTGGGCAGGTTCTCCCTCTTCCTATCCTCATGTTCAGGAATTTTGTGAATAGCATTAACAGGTTTCAATAAGAGATTGGATAAGTACTACATACATGGGGGATAAGTGAGTGGGTTTAAACGGAACCGTCTAGTTTGGATCAACAGGTCAGCAGTGATGCTCCTTAGAAGTAGCCTAAGCTACTCTATCCCTTTGAGATGTATTTTTTTTTTCTTGTCTCAATAAACTTACTTGAACTTGAACTTGTGATGTTCCTTAATTATTATGTTCTAAAGTATTATGGTCTAAAATAAGTAAGTAATTTTCAAAGGACATCACCAAGCCTGGAAGGCTATGCTACCACCGTCTGTGCTACAGAATATTTAAGAGTTCCTAGATATCATCCATGATGCTAATACGAGAGATAAAAACATAAGACGAACGATGTCAAAGGAATCAGAATCATTTAGGATTTTATCGAGGGACAAGTGATTTAAAGGTTGGCTTAAATCATTTGAAAATCAAGACATTATACGGGAAGGTGGGCGACGGTTTGCTGAAAAATATCCTAACAGTAAGGTGGAGACTTTGGTTCATTAAGTGACCTGAGTTGACCATTGACGGGTAACAAGGGCTTGGTTGAGGGTCAAAAGGCAAACAGCAAACCAGACATGACAGGGTGGATCTCACAGAAACTTTCTAAACACTGAACAAATTGGAGGATGTTAATCCAGAACATTTCTTTGGAAGGTCAGATGTAACATATACAAGGGGGCAACAGCTGCAAGCTCAACAAGCCACAATTCAAGTTCAGGTTCAAGTTTATTGAGATAATAAAATACTTTCCAAAAGGAGAGAGTAGCACTTATAATATTCCGAGCGTTGTTGATCGTGTTACTGAAATTAACTGTCAAATTGGTATAAAAATGCTTAGGCTAACTCATCCTAACCCTTGCACAGAAGCCCTCCAGAATTTCTTTATTGAAGATCAGCATTGTTCCAAATGGATAACAAAAACTGGAACTCAACTCAGAATATATCAGGATCACAATTTGTACCAAGAGAAACAATAACGGCACTTTCCTGCACCGTGGGAGGTTACACCCTTTCCAGTTTTAATCCCTCCCTTTCCACCCAAGAAGCAAATTAGAGATCAGCCCAAGCTTCGTCTTGAGGCAAAGCTCAACGCCTTAATCCATATTGATGCTCTGTCCACAGAGCATTCTCTCTCTCAAATCATATACACTGATGGTTCCCTACACCGCACCACGGGTGCAGCTGAAAGTGCAGTTGTTCTGACAATGGGCGATGGCTTGTACTTTGAGTGGGGAGTCCGTATAAACAATTGGGCCTCTACCCTTTAGACCGAACTATTTGCCTTGATCCTTGCACTGAAATGTGTACAAGTCTCCAAACTTGATACATTAATTGTAAGTGACTCCTTATCATCCTTAAATGCTCTCAACTCTTTAAGACATAACTGTAACATGCTCGTGTCCGAAGCTAGACACAAATACAACAAAATTATTAAGGATGGTAACAGAGTCCATTTCATGTGGTCTCCATCTCATGTTGGCCTCCGAATGCATGATAGAGTTGATAAGTTAGCCAAAGATTCTGCCTTTAAAGGAGCCGTTGAGTGTAACCTTGGATTGGCAATGAGCAATCAGAGAGCAGCAGTACACCGAGAACTTCAACAAGATGTTGTAGATCTGAGGCAAAGTGAAATTGACACCAGTAATTCCATCTATCATCATACTATCATGCAAGAGGAGCCACACATCTATGGATCATCCAATAAAATCAGCAGACTTCTAGATGTTACTACTGCTCGGCTTAGACTCGGTTACAAGTATCTCTGGGAATTCTCATTATCTGCTGATGTAGACCTGACCAAATGTAAACTGTGTCAACAAAATTATTCGCACACCCTCCGTCATTATGTGATGCAGTGCGAAAAGATACGTGAATTTAGAGACAATTCTATAACCAATGTTCCAGTGATGTGTCAATATTTCATTCAAAATGATCTGCTACCAAAAATTTTAGCCAAATATCCCCAGTTTGCTAACTGTAGGTAGTAACTCAGTGATTGTAACCTATCCACTGCTGCCCACTGGATGGGGGGCGGTGTGCAGGACAAACATATAAATTTTGACACTAGCTCTCAACATTTGCTTAATTTAGAACCTGTACTTGAGGTCGATCTCGAACCCATTGTTGATGTGACGACTTATATTGAATTTTGTAACTAGCTCATCAAGATTGTAACTTGCTTAGCTAAATGAATTGTGGGGTTCAGTCCCTGAGCCCATTATGTGCCTCTGTAACCCTTTCCACTACCGCCCACAAGATGGGTATGGGGTGCATAATAAATGAACTAAACTAACTTATATAGCTAAGCGAACTATAGAGGGTTCAGTTCCTGAACCGATTATGTGCCTCTGTAATCCTTTACACCACCGCCCACGGGATGGGTATGGGGTGAATAATAAAGAAAGAATTTGAAATACATCACACTCCCATTAAGCTAAGATGTTAGAACTTTATTACAAGTTGTAACAAGCAGAAAATAGAGACAGTTACGGTTTGTGTTTCCAGGGTTAGGCTTTTCTGCGAAGGAAGAAAACGCATGCATAGAGTGGGGGACTTCTTTATTTGTTTGATAATAATAATAATTATAATTAATATAATTATAATAAAATAGAATGTAACTGTATAACCTTGCATAATAAAGTGTACACCATAAAAAAGGGGGGTGGTAGGAGAAGCGAACACTCTTACGTATTCAGAGTTAAATGGCAAGTTTTTCCCTGAATGCTCTGTGTTCCCTTCTCTGAGGCTGTGGGTCCCTATAATTGCACCAGAGGTGGTACCCCTCTATATATAAAAAAAAAAAATTAGAATAATATTTATAGTAAACATTTCTAATAACGATATTTATCACAATAACATTTATAATATTTTTTTATTTATAGTAATAACATTTATAATAGTTATAATAACATTTATAATAATATTATTATAATAATTACAATAATTTATAATAACAATTATAATAACATTTATAATAGTGTAATAGCAATAGTATAATTTATTAAATCTATAACAGATTTGAGTTTTGTAATTGTTTAATAATAGTAATAACAATTATAAATACAAGAATAATTAGAATAATATTTATAAATAATATCTATAATAATAGTAACATTTATAATTACAATAATTTATAATGGTAATTATATTATGTTAATAGTATTGTAATAATAATAATAATATAATTTATTAAATCTATAATAGGTTTAATAAATCCATTACATCAAATAACTAATTACATAGCTCTCGGAACCCCAACTTATATAATATATTATAAGAATTTTAGTATCACGCTTTAGAGCAAAGTGTTTGAACCTTCTAAGAATTGTCTCTATCGTACCATTATCACACACACACACATATAATTTGATGTGTAACACTGTTATAATTTCTTCATTTCTTTACCACGTCAGGCCACGGCTGGTGCCAAGAGCCGTTGAGGTATGACTGTAGACAAAGTCCATCTGGAGAGATGGCTGGGTCAAGGTAGGTCAGAGGTGCTGCTGAAATTGTGAAGTCTGATTGCGAAAGGAAATGTGCTGTCTCCAGAAGTATCAGCTTCTGGAGACAGACACAACTCGACAGACTCGGCCACCGGCTCCCGCCTGAAGACGGTGCCTTGAAGACCTGCCTGAAAAAAAAAACAGGTCTTTAAGACCTGCTTCATCAGGAAAGACAGAAAGTGTGAGGTGGGAATATTTTGGATTTGGGGGATCCTGCCACCAGCCGTGAATTATTGAGGATAAACAGGTTGTTGTGAAGGCGGGTTCTAGCGGAACAAAAGCGTGGGCAATATAGGAAGAAGTGTTCTGTTGTTGTTTTAGATTCAGCTACTAGAAACAAAAAGTTTCAAGCAGTCCACTACGGGCTCACCATAGCCCCTATGGTGAGCCCGTAGTGGACTGATCTGGCACAGGAGCGGGGCTGTAACTGAAGAAGTGTTCTATGGTTCCTTCTTGTTGAGGGCACCACCAGCAAGCAGGAGAGCCATTCATCCCAAGACAGAAAAGATGGGCAGGGATCGAGTCGTGTATGGCTAGACGCTGGTCCGTATTGCACAATATAGATCAAACGATTACACATTGTAGATAAAAAACAAGCTATAAATTCATCTAATATTCGATCTCACAGGATGGTTAGTCATACATGGAATCAGGCGAGAAAATACCTGCCTCAATACAAAAATAAATTAACTTTGACTAAATAATAACTTTACAATTTTCATAAGAGCTAAGCCCTGAATCATGGAAATATTATATCATAATTATTTTTACCAGTTTCTATAAGATTCCTCTCAAATAATGTCTTTATTTTTTCGTTTTTTAAAAAGCTTAGGTATACACAGCAATGTTCTGCTACCCTATTCTATATGAGAGACCACACAGTGTAGATACAAAGCCAGCTACAAGCTCATCCAACATCCCCTCACAGGACGGCCAGTCACATATGGAATCAGGAGAGAACATGACATATTAGGCTGATCTATTAGCCTCCACCAAAGAAACTCTGTCCATTGTTTCTCGATCCCGGCGCCAGCGAGAAACAATGGGCAGAGTTTCTTTCACCCTATGCCCCTGTTACCTAGCAGTAAAATAGGTACCTGGGTGTCAGCTGTCACTGGCTGCTCTTCCTGGGGGGTGAAGGCCTGGTCGAGGACCGGGCCGCGGGGACACTAAAAGCCCCGAAATCATCTCAAGATAACCTCCACTAGCAAAATCTGGTTACAGCACAAAAATATCTTCCAATATTCCTGAGTGTATGAAGTCATTACAAAGCTCAAAGCACCTCATATCATTTGGCCTGAAGTCACTTATAACAGGGCAATCATAGATATAGTGTTGGAGAATGTACTAACACTTGTTCACATAGTTTACAATTGGAATGTTCACAATTGGGGGGGATTCATTACCTGCAGCCACCTGCCATAGATAGAAAACAAACAAATATTGTAGATAATATAACGTACGATATGTAAGATTTTTTCTGAATACATTATTAATATTTTTATTACTATTATTATGATTATTATTTATCAGTGATTTCAGACCATTATTATTTATGCCGACATTTAAGAGACCGGATGTTCTTTGCTGTATGTTCAAGTACTCTTAAATGAAATTCTCAGCTGTTTCTCGCCACAAATAAAAGAAATCCAAGAACCTTATCTTACTAACTCAGGCTCCGAAAATCAGTTCTAATGACGAAACTATCTTATTACCTGCGAAATAAATATAATAAATCCAATATTTACACGGCTGGTGAAGCATCGTCTGCTGGAGCCAGAGTGCTGGAACCGTCCATGACGACACTCCAGCGTGTCAGGAGCAAGTGTTGAGGGAGAGAGTGTCTGGAGCAGGGTTCTGGTCTGCCGCATCCCTACCGGTGCTCCATGTCTGCCTACCTGAGGTCCCTCAAGCTGGGCCTGCCGCCCATGGTGGCAGGCGGGGGCGGCAGGGTGGCAGGAGGCGGCGGCGGACACCTCCTGACCCGCCGCCCAAGTTCTCCGGCACACAGGGAACACCAGGTGCTGCCTCATTGTCTGCAGGCTCACTTTCACTCATGTTCAGTAGTCATCCTCACACAGGGAACACCAGGTGCTGCCTCATTGTCTGTAGGCTCACTTTCACTCATGTTCAGTAGTCATCCTCACACAGGGAACACCAGGTGCTGCCTCATTACACGGGCTGATCTACAGGTTCACACTCACTCCTCTGGGACCCCACTCATACTCGTACCTTATCCTCAGTACAAGTAAAAAATAAGGCCAACTGTACAGTATTTTGTCATGTTAAGTTAGGTACAGTAAAGAGTACTAATAATAATAATGCAACAAGACAACTCGGTCACACGTTATGACGAGTCAAATCACGGCAAAAGGGTTAAAAAAATTAAACGAGTTGACCAAACCACACACTAGAAGGTGAAGTGACAACAACGTTTCGGTCCGTCCCGGACCATTCTCAAGTCGATTGTGAGAATGGTCCAGGTCCAGTTCACAGTCGACTTGAGACTGGTCCAGAACGGACCAAAACGTCATCGTCCCTTCACCTTCTATTGTGTGGTTTGGTCAACATACTTCAGCCACGTTATTGTGACTCCTCGCCTGCAAAATAAATGGGTCTTGGTATATCATGTCAGGGACAAGAAGTTTTTCTTGCTGAGGTTATCCTAATGAAGGGTAAGGCTGTGTATACATGTTCACCTATCCACATACTGGCCAGACTGAATGGTGTTACATCTGAAGCTGAGTGATACACAAACCATCTAGAATGCCCAAATCAGAATTGCTGCGATAACTAGTGAGATTTCTTTTTTTATATTTTTTTAAGCTCCTTCATGGGAAAATATGCAACATGTTGGATATACTTCACCAAAGTTGTTAGTTTTCATAGGTAAAATTGAAGCGCTAGAAATATAACTGAAGCATTATATTAATGCAAGTGTAAAACCTGATCTGGAGTTATTTAAAAATAAAGGATAGTGGTAATTTGAGATTATCATTGAAACTGGGATTACATTGCCTAAAGAATTACTATACTGTACTGTACTTAACATGGATAAAAGTTGTTTTCTGTAGCTGTAATATCAAGTTGGCCCTTCACACCATTGCTGTGTTAATTGAAACCTGGAATGTAGATATACAGTAAAAATTGCTGTCTCCACCTGCACACTGCAGTAGATAACAAAGAACTTTAATAAAATTAAACACTTCAGCCATTAAGCTTAATGATGATAATTTTATTTATATAAAAATATGTATACTGTATTTGATATATATAGTAACATAGTGGAGAATTCGTAGGTACACAGTGTACTTTATATAAAGCTGTAATTCATGACATTTTATGAGTATGGTATAATAGTTTGTCTGAGATAAGCATTTATTGTCATGTTCAATATTTTTGCAAATAATTAATGTATTAGAAAGGAAGGTTGATTTGCTATGATTATTTTTAGATTTTTAATGTCATATATATTTACAGGGAGCTCCTGCTTTACGAATGTTCGTCCATACAAACATTCTCCCAGTCCCCATGTACCTCCCCGCCCCCTTTCATGTTTAAAATCGTTGTACTAACTCACTGGAGCATCCCTTTGAATTTTGCGGCAGTGCGAACATCCGTGCGGCAGCCACGTGGAATATAGTATTGCATGTGTAGGGGGAGTACACTAGGCCCAATACCCAGTGGCCTCAAGTCCTCAGTAACCCACACAAAACATGATGTACAAAATCATGGCATGTTTGTTGTGTTGATGGGGTGGGGCCCTGGGCTGGAGATAGGAGGGTGGGAAGGCCTTTAAGCGCGAAAACACTTACAAAAAGGCGGACCTCCAATACAGTGCACGTGTATTTTAATTTATTTATTCATGTAATTATACCACTTCACTTTTTAAAAATGGCTAACTTTAACAAGCAGGACAACTCTTATCATTGAAGGCAAATAATGTTGTGGTTTTTTTATATTTTATGACCTAAAAAGTTTGTGTTGAGGAATTTTGGTGGCCTCGGAATGCATCTTCCATTTACAGTATAGCGTTGTGCTTATGGAAAATCTCGATCTGCGTTCAACAAATGCTTTACAGTCTCCAAACGTAACTCATTCGAAATTGGAGACTTGCCTGTATAGAAAAAATATAATAATTGTATATTTCTAATAGCAGTAGCATACTGTACTTGATTTTCTGTGTAAGTATTAATGTATCTGGGTGTTTGATATCATTGAGACTTGGTTGTATCTTCAGGGATGTGTGCAGAGTGCCCCAGCCACCCCACTTCACCTAAGCAGCAGCAGTGTGAGTGTAGCGGCTCAGCAGCAACAGCAGGAGGACTTCAGTGCGACGTCCTCTCCGAACTTATCTTCGTCTGACACCTCTCGGTTACTCCTTGAGGCTTCACAGATACTACATCTGAAACAAGTTTGTGTTACAGTGTGTCTTACTGTATCTAAGGAATTCCAAACTACTGTACTTAAGGACCCAGTTCAGATAAAAAGCTAAATAAATAATAAAGCTTATTTGTGGTTTAGGTGTTTAAAAATAAGGTAAATGAATACACTAATAAAACAGTCCAGTCCCCTTAAAATAATAGTACAGTACATGTACTTATATTAACTGTTTGCCCGAAAGAACCAGTATGTAGTGATGGACCACCAAAACGTTGACATTTTGCTTTTTTTAATTTGACCAAATGGGGAAATCTTTTATTAACTGTAACATAAATGTAAAACCTAATATAACCTCTCCTAACAATCCTAGGCCTGGTACACTCTATCTTAGGGCTGATATAGTACAGTGTGTTGTACTAAGCCCAGTACACTCTTAGAGCTGATATAGTACAGTGTGTTGTACTAAGCCCAGTACACTCTTAGGGCTGATACAGTACTGATATAGTGTGTTGTACTAAGCCCAGTACACTCTTAGAGCTGATATAGTACAGTGTGTTGTACTAAGCCCAGTACACTCTTAGGGCTGATATAGTACAGTGTGTTGTACTAAGCCCAGTACACTCTTAGGGCTGATATAGTACAGTGTGTTGTACTTCTTAGGGCTGATATAGTACAGTGTGTTGTACTAAGCCCAGTACACTCTTAGGGCTGATATAGTACAGTGTGTTGTACTAAGCCCAGTACACTCTTAGGGCTGATATAGTACAGTGTGTTGTACTAAGCCCAGTACACTCTTAGGGCTGATATAGTACAGTGTGTTGTACTAAGCCCAGTACACTCTTAGGGCTGATATAGTACAGTGTGTTGTACTAAGCCCAGTACACTCTTAGAGCTGATATAGTACAGTGTGTTGTACTAAGCCCAGTACACTCTTAGGGCTGATATAGTACAGTGTGTTGTACTAAGCCCAGTACACTCTTAGGGCTGATATAGTACAGTGTGTTATACTGGACCTAGGAATGTTTGTTTGGTTTTTAGCTTTATTTTTCCCAGGCTGTAAAATGAAGAGTATAAAAAGTGAACCTTTGGTGGTCTATCACCACATATTGGTACTTTTGACCAAATAGGTACTATAAGTACTGTACTACCATTTCAGGTGGATGGGTTGATATCAAATAGTACTGTACTTACTGGAATAACACATACCTCATAATGCAGTATTTCATCAAATATGCTTTACACCACTATTCCACTTAACACACTCGCGCCTAGGGTGTGCGCTCTGTTTGTATGCACAAACTACTCCTGGCGGTGCGGTCGAGTGTGCGGCGACACTAAAATGTGTATACTTGTTTCAGTTTTCTCTCCTTAATTCTCGTGCTCCATCGTTCGTTTTGGTATCATGTGTTCGCAATAGAATTCCCTACATGTGTATATGCATATAATGTCCAAAAGCCCGGCGTGACTTCCCACAGCAAAGCCTAAAGTCTGCAAAAGTTACCCGTGAGCGCACAAAATCAATAAAATATGTATACTCATTTCAGTTTTCTCGCCTTAATTCTTGTGCTACGTCGTTCGTTTTGGTATCATTGTGTTAGCAATTAAATTTCCTGCAGGTGAATATGCATATATTGTCCAAAAGCCCGGCGTGACTCCACTTAGCAAAGCCTAAAGTTACCCGTGAACGAGCACCAATTGGAACACCCGCAACCTAATATGTACTGTATACTCGTTTTTCAGTTTGATAACATCAAATTTCGAGTTACGTCGCTCGTTTTGGTATCAAAATGTTCGCAATATAAAGCGTGTATTTTAAAACTAGTCCCAAAATAATAGAGCAATAAATGGAATTTTAACAAATATTTAAAATTTTGGACGCACATCATCACAAAACTATTTATATCTTTCCAGGGTTCTGACATCAGTTTTCGTGTTACATCTTAGATTTGGAATACAATTGATTTCATTCTTGATTATTTCAAGTGTGGCTACTGTAGACATATCTATAGAGTATGTGTGTGCTGTTTTCTTTGTTCTGGCTAGATTAATTAGTTTATGACTGGAGTTAGTTTATTTTTTTTTTTTTACATCCAATTTAGTGGATGTCAAGCAACTTAGAGGTAATACTTTCCATGCCAAGAGTTTGTTATAATGGTTGGTGAATCTTTCCAGGCGGAGGCTATGAGCAGTGATGTGACGGGCATGATAGAGAGGAGCAGCCCAGCTGGAAGGCATCTCCACTGCTATGACCCAATAGGCTTCATTACCTGCCCATCCCACCACACCTGTGAGAGTGCCGAGGTATTAATGACATTTCAGTTGGGGAAGGATCTTACGGTAATGGACTGCTTAACCTCTGTTGACCATCGAGCAGTAAGGGAGTACAGTAAATACTTGGCAGGGTGAGGGAGGAGACCGATTGGCTTGGATTACCCATGTTTGGGTAGATCTAAAAATGTTTTTTTTAAAAATAGTTTTCTATAATTTTGTCTGTAATTTGTGGAGATGCTGTAGAATGATGTATTGATATTACATTTGCCAGCTGATATTAAGTACAGTGTGTTTAGTTACACAGCTTGATTAGTGAATTTCTACCTGTGCATGGGCACAAAAGCAAGTTTTACTATCCTGCTCATTATTCTGCAAAATATTCACAAATTTAAAGTCTTGTTAATTATCCTTTCACTTTGCTAACCTTGATTTTTTTAAGTATGTCATCATCAATTTACATAAGCTATAGGTAGTCTCTTTTTAACACTTTTGACTGATGTGTGGACGTGTCTGTTTCAGATGCATCCCTCTGCAGAAGTTGTTTGCCATGACAGCAACGCAAATGTCAGAACATTCCGACTTCCCCCAGATGCTCTCTGGTACCCTCTGGGTACATACCACCAAGGGAATGACATTCTTTATTCAGTTTCCTATAGCCAGATAGAAAGCCAAGTTTTAGACACAATATCGCCATCAGACCCTGGGCTTGGTAATGACGTACACTCCACTTGTACAAATAACACCTACAACACAGAAGGCCCCAGAGCAGAAAGAAGCACATGTGACATGTCCACGTTCATTAAAAGCGTGTCGGAAGGTGAGGGACAATTACAGTGCAACATTCCATCACCGAACCAAAGGAAGCCAGAAAATTTAGATCCATCAGGCAAGCCAAGTCCAGCGCATCTTTCCCACGTTTTTGACAAGCTCGCAGAGACTGTAAGTATTGCTATGGTGTGTGCTGCGTGCTTCTCCCTCACACCACTGATCATACCATTATTTTTTCACCTCTGCATTAGCCTAAGAAAGTTATTTCATCATAAATAAAGTAACGAAAGAAAAATACAGTACCAGTACTAGCACTGTAAACCATTTTTTTTTTTTTTATTTATTTATTTTTTTTTTTTTTGAGATATATACAAGAGTTGTTACATTCTTGTACAGCCACTAGTACGCGTACCGTTTCGGGCAGGTCCCCGGAATACGATCCCCTGCCGCGAAGAATCGTTTTTTTTCATCCAAGTACACATTTTACTGTTGCGTTAAACAGAGGCTACAGTTAAGGAATTGCACCCAGTAAATCCTCCCCGGCCAGGATACGAACTCATGACATAGCGCTCGCGGAACACCAGGCGAGTGTCTTACCACTACACCACGGAGTATTTTATGAACAAGAGATACAGTACTATTAAATATGTGGTAGGCAGGCATTGATCCGGAGAAAACTGTAATGGATATACTGTACATTCCTTATTGTAAGCATTTATGACCTGATTGGTAACGCAGTCATAATTTTGAGGCCCGAGTTTGAATTTCCGATGATCCATGTGAATAAAGTGCTATACATTGTTTATTGTAGCTCTGTACATTACTGATTTGTTATGATGCCGTTTGTTCTCGGACAAAAAAAAGATGTTGAAATGAAGTACTGGTACTGTCAGTAGAGTTAAAATATAGCTTTTCTAATTGTCACTCGACTAACAGAGCAAGCGCTTCTGTATACTGTTGATCACTGAGAGCCTTATTCAGTGCGAGTGAACAGTTTTTATTCCTAATGTTATCAAAGGAATGCTTCAGTTGATGCATAAATATAATTGCTGCTTTCATCATAAAACATGTTGCACAATTTCATAAATTTTATTTTTTTAGTTGCCGAAGCTGTTTCTTCAACCTCTGGACTACACCATCTATTCCCAGAATATTGTCTTTGATAACAGAATTCGTGGAGTCAAAACAGTGTAAGTACTGTACAGATAGACTGAATTATTTGCTTGGAAATGCTAATAATAGATCTTAACTTTTATTTAAAGTTTATTTGCAAAGTTAGCCATAAATCAGTCAAATACATTAGGAAATGATCACATGTGTAACCATTAGCAGCATTACAGTATTATGGTTCATAGAGACGCGCAGAATGGTGCTAAACTTGCCCGTTTATGTCAGCGAGGGCTTTTAATATAAGAGGTGGAACTGGTTAAATAAGGATTGTATAGTAAGGTTTTTATTTTCAGTGGTTTAATGTCATACGTGAGGCAAGTGGCTTTGCTTAGAACAGTTGGGCACTTCAAATTTGCTCATGTCCGATTTGAAATACTTAAGATCACAAAGCACCCAGAAGATGGCACTGTGAGAGTTCGATGGCGAATCGTAGGCCTATCAGGATTGAAGGTACGTGCATGGTGCAGTTTGATAGTGATAGTTGTAGGTACTTTTTTTTTTTTATCTTCCAACCTATCATACATTTATATATACATATGGTATTATCTCAATGATAAGTAGCCTATCCAAATTTTTACCTTAACTGTTCAATTGATAGGAATGTGTAAAATATACACAAAATCACACTCACATGATATACTGTACATCAAAGAGAAAATCCACTTGGGCGATTTTGCCCCAGTGGATTTTCTCATAGATGTATATCACGTTAGCGTGATTTTGTGTGTAGGGGCATATGGTGTTGACCATACTTTACCCTTCACCCGAGTGCTTAGGGGTTTTACGTTAAACTTAGTGGCTTTAGGCATAGTATGTACTAGCTCTATCTAGAAATCCAACATTCTATTTGTAACTCATCTTGTATGTATGTACTTTTACCTGAATAAACATTTATTTATTTATATTATATTTGTTTATGAAGCCATTTATCACACTGACTTGTATTAGCTTCTAGTGAGGTGATGTGCACAGATTCTTTAATTTTGTTGGAATACATTTTTTTAATTTGAATGCTGAGTTTGGACACGAGGTGTATCTTGAATTGAATTTGCTCTTAACTCTACCTCCTCCTGATGTGCTTCGACTTCCTGTGCAAGATCTCGCACCATCATCTGAAATATGTCTGAAGTTTCTTTAGCAGCTCGTTTATCTTATCTTTTAGGCTGTTAATCTACCTCTCCTCTACTATTAAACGGTTAAGTTGCAAAAATAAAATCACCAGCGACTGCAGTATTTGATAAAACTTGACCCAATATAATATGTTTTATTTATTTGTACCAATTTTTTCTACAGGCCATGTTCCAGTTTTGGAAGTTTAAGCTGTGGGATTGGAAGGGGATAGTGAATCAGATGGAGAGTTGGTACGATGGCTTCTCCACGTTTTACGTCGGCGGTGATGGGCTGGTGTACAAGCATGTGGCAGACAGTGTGAGTATAAGGGTCCAAGGCTAATAACTTTACGGTTGTCGGTCAGAGCACTAAATTGGCTGCCTACTCTTGTTTTATGAGTATGCTTCGTTACTGTCATTTTGACTGCTTAAAACATTTATTTTAGACTTTAGGTCCAAAAATGCATGTTCTATTGAATGAAAGGAGGCAATCATTTAATCCTTCAGTAAAACATTTAGCAATTTCTAAATTACTTGTGGTATAACACAGATTTTGTTACAAAAATAAACGAAAAGATGCCTTATGAAACCATTCCGAGAATGAAACTAAATATACTTGTAGCAGAGCTAATTCTAGTATGCTTAGGACTACACAGATGGCCTGGAGTTTTGTTTTTATTTGTGGCTTCACTTATTAGATTACACAATGGTGTGCGTGTTGAATAACCTAATTTTTGACACATACTGTATTTAACAAACAATATGCCCACCTTTCAAACAAACATTTACATAGATTTATATCACTTGTCAATGTGACTGTCATTTTAGATATGACAAGCTGTAGGTCACATTGTACATTGAAACATAGAGTCTACCCAGTTTAATCCTTAAATCTACAATTATATTTTTGGAGGGAGGGGCGGGGGTAGGGAAAGTCATAAAATTGTCTTCCATAATTTGTAACTGATACAAAGTGAACTAAGGAAATGTACAACAGATCCAAATTGCCTTGACCATAGTGTAAATTTTCCTGTATACATTGTACCCCTGTTTTGTTAATGTTGATGTCTGTTATGTACCCTGATCAGTACAATTTCTTTCACATTCATTTGCTGCAACATTGAATCAATGATCCTCGTGCTGTGTGAATTAAGATAAAATATTAGTGTGAGGGAACAGGTTCTTCTATGAGAGTTGGTGTAAGAAGCAGTGTGGGAGACACATTGCCTCCTTTGGCTTTACTTGACGTTTACGTTTCAACATGTGGCCCACTCAAAGATGTCCAAACAGCGTTCGTGGTGGTTGCATTTTCAGGCACCTATTTTTCTCGCTTCCTCTGGTCAAGCTGCTGCTTCACACATTGACAAGATATGAGGAACCTTTGCAGGCTAGGATCATCTGTGGGCTCCCATGGGGGCTTGTTCTCTCCTAGTTTCAGGCTCTTCTTGCCTATTTTCCAATCCCATTCCTTTTCCAGAGCTCCACCTCTTCTCAAGGTTCTGCAGTGCGCTGTGCCTTGGATGGTTAGGGAGAGAATGCGAATCTAAGTGTGAGATTTCTTGGCCTCGTGTCTCATATCTCCACTTGGTGTCGGGTTGCAAGCTTCTTGGTACAGTGTTGGCCTCACGCACGTGGGGTCCACAGTTCAAGACTCATACCTCCCAGGTGAATGGAATACAATGTTAGTGTCTTTGCAGTGGCACTGTGTGGTGGCCTGCCAAGCCGCCATGCAGTGCCTCTACAAAGACAGTGTCGTCTGCTGTTAGTGTTGTGGTTTCTGCTCTTGGTAGTTTGACCACTCACTGCCTATGTGGTCACCTTGTATTGTTTGGATGTAAAGGAACCCCCTTTCTGACATTTGGGGAAGAGACTGTGCTGCTGCCTTTTATGTTTTCGAGTGCTCCTTGCACTGTTGAAGTCGGGGCACTGTTTGTCATCCCCTTTTCTCATTTCCCTTGTTCCATGGCTGTCCATAGCAGGTCCTCTGCATAGTGATTTGTTCTGAAATGGAAGAAAATGTTAATCTTTAGGTAATTAACCCATCAGGTATAAATGGCTAGGAGGTAGGGCATAAAGAGCTAGGTCTCATTCCCTCGTAATCACCATTAGGTAAGTGTGAAGATATTCCTGTTGATGCACAATTCACCCTGGTAACTTATAATAAGAAAATCTAATCTTTTTATATTTGTATAATTCTTTTAGATTATTAAACTCTAATATTAAAATTTTAGAGGTTTGCCATGATCATTGGAGTTCATTAATTTCTGGTAAAATAAGTTAATGATCTCATGACTTGTTTTTTGTATTTTTATTTTGTGCAGATGATGCCAGATGAGGAGCTTCATGTAGTAAAAAAGGGCCCCCTGGCAGTTAAGATGGCGGCTCTCCTTGGCCTGGCACATCGGCCTAGCTTGAGCGACACCAATAGCATGCTGTACTTTAGCCTGGACTCCCTCTCCTCGATGCACCAGCAGGATGAGGAAACCTATACCAATTTGATGCTTCCACTGGAGAAGATACATTGAGGGGCAGTAGTTGAGGACTTAGCTATTTATTGCATTAGAGTACCAACCTGTGATTAGCTCTGCAATGTATACTGCATATGCTTTGATTTTTATATGGAGAAAACGAGAGCAGTGTAGTTTTAAGCTTTCCGAAGTAAACGATGAGTCACAAAAACATGAGTGAAGATATGATGAAAACCACACACCAGAAGATGAGACGACGACGACATTTCGCTCCGTCCTGAACCATTACTAAATTGTGACAATTGACTTGATAATGGTCTTGGACGGACCGAAATGTAGTCGTCTCCTCATCTTCTGGTGTGTGTGGTTTGGTCGTCATATCTGAAGAAAGAAAAGTTGTAGTCTTGGCGACAGGTGGAGCATTGTCGTTGAAGTTTACAAAGTGGCCATTCTTGACCAATACACTCAAGGGCTACAGCACACTTGGTGATTATTGTTGGGTTGCAGTGTGTGTTATATAAGCTCACTATGCTTCTCTTCTTGGGCTTTATTGACATTATACTATTTGCATGCTGCATCACGTTATTTCAAAAGCAATCATATACTCAGTAATAGCCTATTGAATATTCATAATATGATGTAATAGTACACTGTAATAATCATTGCTAGTAATTTCACAGAAGTTAAAATGAAGGGCTCCTCACTTATACTCACAAGTAATATGGTAGTTTATTTAGTATGTTCAAGTAAGTTAAAGCTGTTGGCCCCATGTCCATATAGAATCGAGCTGAAAATAAACTTGGGCTATATCCTATATCCTTTGTCTTATATCCTGTTGGGTCATATATATCATTGTACTTTCTAAACCATATCTAGTGAAGGCTATGCTAGCTTGAGATTTTACTATATTGGTGGATAGGCATCGGCCTAGCAGAGTAATGTTCAAACAACACACGGAAGAATGGAGGGCCGGACAATGGGAAGGAGGCAATAATTTGGCTATGATTTGCATTGGTTGAGACAGGTATACAAAACCTTGCCCAGAGTAAAGGAAATAATAGTGAGTGAGAATGGGATGTGTATATGTATATATTCATATGTTCTCATCTTGGGGTTGAATTGGTAGACTTAAATTTACCAAAGTGTTGTTTATGAATGTACACTTTGCTCTGTGAGCATCCGCTCTGCTTTGCAAACATCCGCTCTGCTCTGCAAACATCTGCTCTGCTCTCCTCTCCTCTCCTTTCCTCTCTCCTCTGCTCTGCAAACATCCACTTGGCTTTGCTCTGTTACCATTTGCTCTGCTCTGCTGTTGACATTTGCACTGCTCTGTTTTTCAGCTTAAGTAATAACCAGGTTTGTTTTCTTAGTTTGTCATCTGTGTGTAGTCTTGATACTGAAAGTATACCTGGAATGGAATGCGAGTTCAGTCAAGACGTACTGGACCAACTGGGCTGTGGTGGATATGTGGGGCCTGTGGGCCACTCCAAGCAACAGCCTGTTGGACCAAGCTCTCACAAGTTGAGCCTAGTGGCTTCGGGCTGGGCTTGGGGAGTAGATGAACTCCCAGAACCCTATCAAGCAGGTAAACTTACCAAGCTCAGTCTAGGGCCAGGCTTGTCTAGTGGTAACTTGATCTAAAAGGCTGTTGCTTGAAGCAGCCTTAAAGTCCACATGTTCATTACAGTTCAATTGGTCTAGCACTTCCTGCAGGAACTGTAATTGTTTCTTGAACATGTTCATTTTTTGTTCAGGAAATATATTAAGAAATATTATTTCTTAAATTTACTTGGAAGGTATTGAAGAGCCGTGGATACAGGCAAAATGATCCACACCTGATTTTGTTCATTCTTTTCAGTGAAGATAATTAATGACAAAACATTATTCTGGTACTAAATTTCCCACATTTTATATAAAAGATATTATACAAGTACATAAGTTCTTTTGTTAATGGTGGTTATTTTTAGGTAATTAAAAAAAAAGACAATGAAATGAGCTTTGGTCCATGCTAGGTGTCTAGACATGGTCAAATTGAACTGACTTTCTGCATGTGTGTTTATTACCGTGTGTCTTGCTTCCCGGTATCACAAGTGTGACGGGTATGTAAGGCACGTTCAGTTTTAACACTGCACTTTACCAACACTACTGCTCGCTTATCCACATACCGGCCCCTTCCCGTGCTCTGTACTGGACACACATACCAGCCTTTTCACGCACGTATAGGTCAGCCATTTGTGCCGAGGTCACGTGGATCACTCATTGTGATGTTTAATAATTCTTTTATATTGGTTAGGTATTCACAGGGGAGTTTATATTATATATAGAACCTGCTTTTGGCCAGTGATATTGATAAGCATTCATACACGTTCTCATTTTAGAATTCAAATTTGAAATGCAGTTGGTTATTAGGCTGTGGGGGGGGGGCGTTATGACCTGTGGTGCTGTTTTTGTTCTAGTGTGTTTGTTGTTGGTGCTCATCATTAGTCCAAGAGGCTTGGGGTCTGTAATGAAAGAAAAGTAGAGTAGAGCAGCTGCCTCTTGAGCTGTGTAAGTATTATTGTCCTTTCTCACTAAAGCTTTGCAGTGAGATAATTTTGTGTTAAAGTGTATTAAACTGATTGTGCATTTATGTGCTGCCTTCCTTGTAGTTCCATCTTGATCTGCTCTTAAATATAAAACTTACATTTTTTTATTAGATTAATACTGTATATTAATAATAGTCATGTATAATTATTTGACAAATTTTAGTTTTAGCATATACTTTAAAAAAACTACATTTAAGGAGTATATTTTGTCACATATTGCAATGTCTTGAAAGTGAATAAATATTTATTTGAATGTAAAAAGGGGGCACATTAACCTTTCTTCCAATAGTTCATATTTTCTGCCCCATAAGAATGAGGCTATTGTCATCAGTGCTCATAATGAATGCACATTTTTATTTTTAAATGTGATAAATGTGACTAGTTTTTTATTCAGATACTTTTTGTTGTTTACTTTTGTGTTAATAGTTTAATTAAGATAACTTGTGAGCATCAGCTCAGGGAGAAAGTAGTTTTACTTGCTTTTTTTGTTTCATTAAAACCTGGACATCATCCTAGACTGATGATGGGCATTTAGATGGCATTTAATGATGACATTAAAATGGTGGTCTTATTTGTGCTAGAACTTGTGTAATGTAACTGTTATGTGGGTTGGGAAACAATATAATATGGAGGTAATATTTTTGAGTTGTGCGAGCCTTTCATTTTTTGCGACCTGTGTTCTTGATTTTGTAATTACTGTAACCCTGTCACTGTAACTTTTGCCTTGTGTTGAGGTTACAAGGTGCAGGAAGTGGACAAAATGAGAAGTTATTGAAATAATGTTGATATTACTATGAAGGATATATTGTCTTGTGGAAGATGAGAGCAATGAATGGTAAGATCTTTGTCAACCAGTTGGCTTCTTGACCACAGTGAATAATGTTGGGGCACTTTGCCAGCTGCATGCAACATAGTAAATTAAACAAGTTTGATTGTGCATTATACGCTCTCCATAACACAGTGCAATTTGGAATTGGTTGGTGGATTGATACTGGGTTAATTATTTCTCGTAAAATTTGCAAAAATGTGTCGAATAGTGTACTAATTGCTAACAATTCGTTCTACATAGTTTCCCAGGCTTGGCACCTTCTTTTGATGATTATTTGCTAACAATTATCAGTACTTTTGTAATGGATATTGTCTTGGAGTGTGCTTATAATCTGGCTGTTGGTTATGAGAAGAGCTTTAGTACACTACAAGCTCTTTAAGCTTGATGTAACATTGCTTTGTCTTTTCAGCTTAGATCTTGCTTGGATTACGTCTGCCATCCTTCACTTAACCTTTTACCAAGTTTGGCCTTAACAGTCGTCAGCTTGGTCTTGAACCCCACTGACTGTACTTTTCAGACTGGCGAGTCTTCGTCCCTGTTCCCAACCTCATGTAATTAATCATGGTGGAAAGAGTGAAGGATTGAAGTGCTTCTATGCTTGTAATTGGGAAGAGAATTGCTTGAAAGGGGAGGACATGAGCTCTATATTTATAAAAAGAGAATGTACAACTGTTAATTATTAAATACATTATTCACTAGAAAAGCATTCATTTTATGATTGACAGCGAGGTGGTGGTGAAATGCCAGAATAATTATCATGTACATAGTGTAGATACAAAATATTTTACCAGTTGTAATGTATTTGTTATGTAAGCATTGGAGATGTATAATTAATCAACCTGATACTGTATAGCATGGGAGGTGGTTCCCAATGCAGTAAAGAATCTACTTGTATACATTTTTAATATCCTGATGAGAAATGACACTGCAGTATTATCATTATTATTTTTCTGTGACCGAGGTGGGTAATGGAGATGTTAGTTATGACATCCATGATACAGTGTGTTCTATTTGGACACTAGTTCACCCCTCTAAGATTTTGCTTTTCCATGGTGAGAGGGGCTTATATAAGGTGCTCTTGGAAAGTTTTATTATTTTTTTTTTTTTTTTTGGAGGAGGGTCTCCCCTCTGGGTGTTGTGTGCGCGAAGAAACCAAGTAGAGGTGTCAGTTTGGGTCTTCGTATTACCAGCAGTAAGGGGCCACTCTCGGAGGTAGGGTTTGGGTGTCTGAGTACAGAGGGTGAAAAAGGTCTTAGCACTTGTGTTGGATAATGTGCAATGCAGGAAGACTTCCCTGTTAATAAAAAAAGGTGAGCACCGCTTTGGACCGTGCTACCTTCCCTTTACTGGCCAGCACTCGCTGCCCCGGTAGGTGGCATGCCTTGGCTCTGGGGGCCCTAACTATAATAAACACACTGCATCTAGTAAACTTGTTTGCTGGTCTTCTGCATTCCCCATTTCCTTAGGAAGGTCACTCCCCAAGTCCCCAGTGGTAACCATCTCATCCCTTGGAGTGACGCTATCATTAGTTACAACTACATCTTTTGCTCTTCTTCCTGGGGGACCACAGTGACATCATCGAATCTGACACTCATTTCTCTCAACTGCTGCTATGTACCATGATCTGTTTGGACCCTATATATGGCTTGCCTGCTCTGATGATTTATACATAAACCTTGATTTGACTGTCGGTACACCTGTTGCCTGCAGCCCTTTCATCTCATCTGGATTGGAACATGCATTATTGAAACTATTGAAAAGGCAACTGACTGCCTATAGTTGCTGCCCTCTCCTGCAAGTGTGTGACCCCAGTTTGGGTCTCCAAAAGCATCCAATTAAATGTCAGCATTACCAGTCATCCTCTGACTTATATGTTGGGACAGGGAACTTAAACTGCCATGATATTAAATATATATATTTTTATTTGTATATACACGAGTTCTTACAATCTTGTCAAGCCACTAACGCACACAGTGTTTCTGGTAGGTCCTTGATCCTAATTTTTCCTAGAATACTACCTGCCAAATTGTTTACCAACCAGGTACCCATTCACTACTGGGTGAATAGAGGCGTACAGTTAAGGATCGGCGCCTAGTCAATCCTCCCCGGCCAAGATACTAACCCAGACCAATTATGTCCTTAAAGCCCTTCAGTGGGCACAATATCTAAGAGAGTTGTTGGTTCGATGTTGAATCAACACTGATGAGACATTCGGCGTTGCTCTTTGATATTGTTCCCACTTGACCAATGTTATCGTGTCCTCCAGGTTGATACATTCACTCTGCCCCCCTCGCAGTCATTATCATCAGTCTCTTGAGTTAAGATCACTTAATACCCTGAACCTTCCGTCTCTCGCCCTCCCCAACTTTGATATCGTCCGCCTTAGGCGCTTTTGTTTTCGTATTGGCATCCTTAGTGATAGTACCTTTTGATGGTGCTACGCAGTCTTCCTGGCTTGGTGCCTTCTTTTGATAAATCCTTACTTTTCCCTCTCTACGACTCTGCATTAGGTGCTGGAAATATGGGCTGGGCATGGAACCTCGAGGTCTAATAGTGAGGTGTCCTTTTACCCTTTGTGTGGTCACCCTGACCATTCTAGGTCAAATTGTTGTTCTCCCCATGCTCACTGAACTGACTGCAGTGATGCTCGCCCGACTTTTTTTTCGATCTTATAAGCACTATAAATTTGAACACAGTATCCTCAACCTGAAACATGGAGGTTGTGTGTCTCCCGGAGGCAAGACGTCACCAGATACAACGTCTTTCCTCCTCTTCTGACGTGACGTGTGTGTTGTGCTCCTCCATCCCACCCTTCTTCCCTTCCTCGGTTCCACAGCTGTTTTCCTCTGCGACCTGAAACTAAGGGTGTTCTGGTTTCCGGTCCGCGTTTCTACCCTTTCCGGTCTTTCCTGTTCCCCAACCCCCTCATTCTCACTCTGTCTAAGATGAAGTCTATCACACAGTACCTTTTTTTTTGAGATATATACAAGAGTTGTTACATTCTTGTACACCCACTAGTACGCGTAGCGTTTCGGGCAGGTCCCTGGAATACGATCCCCGCCGCGAAGAATCGTTTTTACAACTAAGTACTCATTTTACTGTTGAGTTAAACAGTTAAGGATTTGCGCCCAGTAAATCCTCCCCGGCCAGGATACGAACCCATGACCAAGCGCTCGCGGAACGCCAGGCGAGTGTCTTACTACTACACCACGGAGACTAATCTTGCCTTGAACCTTAATCTGACCTTGAAACTCGCCTGTCTCTTAGTCAGAAATGTAAATCTGGTTCCTCTCCTAACTTCCTGAAAGAAAAGAAGGCCTCTTACCTCACCCTGGCTACCTTCTCCGACTACAGGAGGTAGCCAGGTAGATGTTTCTGCACCATCTTGGTAGTGGAGTGGGCTGACTTTGCTATGGAGGTTCCCGTCGCCCCTTGTTTCTGCCTCTGGTGAAGCCCCTTGAGCCAGAAAAGAAGTGAAAGAGGCAGTGGGCTCTGACAATATTCACAGAGATGTTCCCTTATCTCCCTCTGTGACTTTCAGTATTTGCTTCATATTTATAACCGTATTTGCAAGACGACACAGGTCGCCAAAGACTAGATGCTTGCTAAGACAGCCTGCAGAAAACCAGTGGTAGAAATTGATATGGGTGTTTCATTAGCAGTGACAAAGAGAATACTTAAACAAATATCTAATGAAAATCTCACCGACCTAACAAATTCACGAAGACCTGAAAGTTGTAGCATTAAATATTATGATAGATATCGTGAGGAGACATTCACATATGGGACTAATAGAACAAGAACCCGGCAATGTGATGTTATAGTGGCCAGAATACGCCTGGGATATAGACGTATTTGGCAGCTTTCTCAAAACCCAAATGTCGAGTACACAATGTGTCAACTTTGTGAAAGAGAAAACATGCACTCTCTTGAACATTATATTGTAGAATGTCCCATATTGACTGACTTTCGCCCTCCTGGGCTGAGGTATGCTGAACTGTGTAATTACTTTATGAGTACTGGAACACTTGATGATATATTGGACTTGTACCCAAGATTAACCATGTATTGTATCAATTATACAATGTATGTATGTGATGAAACTATATAACCTGAGCTTGTAAAAGCACCTTCATCACCTTCAGTGATTAAGTGCTTAATTGCACACTAGTTTCTTTATCAGCTATCTCACCCTGTCAGAGTAAATGAGACAAATGTATGTGAATGCATGTGTGTGTATATATGTATGTATATGTGTGTGCATGTATATGTATGGGTATAAAGTATATATGGAAGCTGATCAGAATTACATTTCACCTTTGTGAATGTACATTAATGACACTGTAAAAGACACATCAAACACTTTATGTAGGGCATACGTAAATCTGTGTATCTATGTATTTACGTATGTAGGTTAGCTTAGCATTTGAAAGCACCGAATCACCTTCTGTGGTTGATTGTTCAATAAACCCTTGAACTATATGTTTAACACTTCTCTAACCCTGTCCATGGGGGACAAAAGAAAATGTATATATGCTGGTTAGCATTGTAAATGTGTGGCCACGTCTGTGGTAGAAAATAATAATAATAAAAAAAAAACTGGCTCGAGGCGAGCCATTACGACCCTAATTGATTACCATGTGCAGAATAGTATACTATCGACTCGGATCTCATGTTTTCTCCTGATCCCATGTATGGCTAACCATGCTGTGAACGTGGATATTAGACGAGCTCATAGCTAACGTTGATCTACAATGTAATACTTCGTGTCGGCAGTACATTGTTGTGTACCTAAGCTTGTTAATGAAGCAGTGTACGTCCCGGCCTTGTCCCCCATACCTGTGTCGCCCCACTGTTTAATATTCATCCCGCCACCACATTTTGTCTAACAGTTACATGAACGATGAACGCATTGGGAATTAATATATTTACTTTATGCAATTCTTAATCTATATAATTAAAAAAATGTATATTAAATTTGATTCGCATTGTATACTGGTATGTAGTATACTGGTATATTGCAAGCCCGGTTTGCATAATGTGTTGCGTTAGGGAATTACGGTGGAGAAGTAATGTTGTTGTTGATTTTGGCGCGACGACGATCGTGGGATGGAATGCGCCCCGGGGTACCCGGTAAGGGTGAATCACGAAGCCTGGTAAGGTGAAACGCCAAGCCAAATCGTGAAACAAGTGACGCCAATCACTGGAAATAATATGCCATGCGGCAAATAAACGCAGACAGACAGATGATTGGGAAGCCCCAGGAGTCCTCTAGGGTGACAAGCACCGGCCCCGCCCCACACAGAGAACACTGGGGAGCAAAACCCAAAACTCGGCCCCCAACTGAAACGCAAAAGTCATCCAGTGTCCTCCGGCAGAGCAGAAGCCGGCCGCCCACCACGGCTGAGGGCACACCTGGAGCCCACCAAGACCCACCAACCCCTGGCACCTCTCGGCCAAGCCGGGCCCCGAACACCGTCACCCCGCCGGGAGAACCAGCCAGAACACGTCAAAAACAAAAAAACAATGTATCAAGAGTCCCGTGACCCAAGGCGGTATGTGCGCCAGGCGGCGTACAACCCGGACCGTGGAATAGGGATGCCAAACGGCAGTAGCAAAACTAAATCACGAGAACAGGACGTGATCCGGCGGCCCCCAGGTGGAGGTGGTGTCCAGACGTCCGCTCGTTGTCAAGGTTGAACCAGGAGTCGAAGTAATGTTGGGCGGAGTGGTTGAGTGGCATTGTTAACATCACGGACGAACTCTATGTGTGTGTGTGTGTGTGTGTGTCTGTGTACTCACCTAATTGTACTCACCTAATTGTGCTTGCGGGGGTTGAGCTTTGGCTCTTAGGTCCCGCCTCTCAACCGTCAATCAACTGGTGTACAGATTCCTGAGCCTATTGGGCTCTATCATATCTACATTTGAAACTGTGTATGGAGTCAGCCTCCACCACATCACTGCCTAATGCATTACATTTACTAACTACTCTGACACTGGAAAAGTTTTTTCTAACGTCTCTGTGGCTCATTTGGGTACTCAGCTTCCACCTGTGTCCCCTTGTTCGTGTACCACCAGAGTTGAATAGTTCATCCTTGTTTACCCGGTCGATTCCCCTGAGGATTTTGTAGGTTGTGATCATGTCCCCCCTTACTCTTCTGTCTTCCAGTGTCGTAAGGTGCATTTCCCGCAGCCTTTCCTCATAACTCATGCCTCTTAGTTCTGGGACTAGTCTAGTGGCATACCTTTGGACTTTTTCCAGCTTCGTCTTGTGGTTGACAAGGTACGGGCTCCATGCTGGGGCCGCATACTCCAGGATTGGTCTTACATATGTGGTGTACAAGATTCTGAATGATTCCTTACACAGGTTCCTGAAGGCTGTTCTGATGTTAGCCAGCCTCGCATATGCCGCAGACGTTATTCTCTTTATGTGGGCTTCAGGAGACAGGTTTGGTGTGATATCAACTCCTAGATCTTTCTCTCTGTCTGTTTCATTAAGTACTTCATCTCCTATTCTGTATCCTATTCTGTGTGTGTCTGTGTGTGTGTCTGTGTGTGTGTCTGTGTGTGTGTCTGTGTGTGTGTCTGTGTGTGTGTCTGTGTGTGTGTCTGTGTGTGTGTCTGTGTCTGTGTCTGTGTGTGTATCTGTGTGTGTGTCTGTGTGTGTGTCTGTGTGTGTGTCTGTGTGTGTGTCTGTGTGTGTGTCTGTGTGTGTGTCTGTGTGTGTATCTGTGTGTGTGTCTGTGTGTGTGTCTGTGTGTGTATCTGTGTGTGTGTCTGTGTGTGTGTCTGTGTACTCACCTAATTGTACTCACCTAATTGTGCTTGCGGGGGTTGAGCTCTGGCTCTTTGGTCCCGCCTCTCAACCGTCAATCAACTGGTGTACAGATTCCTGAGCCTATTGGGCTCTATCATATCTACATTTGAAACTGTGAATGGAGTCAGCCTCCACCACATCACTTCCTAATGCATTCCATTTGCTAACTACTCTGACACTGAAAAAGTTCTTTCTAACGTCTCTGTGGCTCATTTGGGTACTCAGCTTCCACCTGTGTCCCCTTGTTCGCGTCCCACCAGTGTTGAAAAGTTCATCCTTGTTTACCCGGTCGATTCCCCTGAGGATTTTGTAGGTTGTGATCATGTCCCCCCTTACTCTTCTGTCTTCCAGTGTCGTGAGGTGCATTTCCCGTAGCCTTTCCTCATAACTCATGCCTCTTAGTTCTGGGACTAGTCTAGTAGCATACCTTTGGACTTTTTCCAGCTTCGTCTTGTGCTTGACCAGGTACGGGCTCCATGCTGGGGCCGCATACTCCAGGATTGGTCTTACATATGTGGTGTACAAGATTCTGAATGATTCCTTACACAGGTTCCTGAACGCCGTTCTGATGTTAGCCAGCCTCGCATATGCCGCAGACGTTATTCTCTTTATGTGGGCTTCAGGAGACAGGTTTGGTGTGATATCAACTCCTAGATCTTTCTCTCTGTCTGTTTCATTAAGTACTTCATCTCCTATTCTGTATCCTGTGCCTGGCCTCCTGTTTCCACTGCCTAGTTTCATTACTTTGCATTTACTCGGGTTGAACTTCAACAGCCATTTGTTGGACCATTCACTCAGTCTATCCAGGTCATCTTGTAGCCTCCTACTATCATCCTCTGTTTCAATCCTCCTCATAATTTTTGCATCGTCGGCAAACATTGAGAGGAACGAATCTATACCCTCTGGGAGATCATTTACATATACCAGAAACAGTATAGGTCCAAGGACTGACCCCTGCGGGACTCCACTTGTGACGTCTCGCCAATCTGAGACCTCACCCCTCACACAGACTCGTTGTCTCCTGTTGCTTAGGTATTCCTCTATCCACCGGAGTACCTTCCCTCTCACTCCAGCCTGCATCTCCAACTTTCGCACTAGCCTCTTGTGTGGCACTGTATCAAAGGCTTTCTGACAATCCAAAAATATGCAGTCTGCCCACCCTTCTCTTTCTTGCCTTATTTTTGTTGCCTGGTCGTAGAATTCAAGTAACCCTGTGAGGCAGGACCTGCCATCCCTGAACCCATGTTGATGCTGTGTTACAAAGTTCCTTCGCTCCAGATGCTCCACTAGTTTTTTTCGCACAATCTTCTCCATCAGCTTGCATGGTATGCAGGTTAGGGACACTGGCCTGTAGTTCAGTGCCTCCTGTCTATCCCCTTTCTTGTATATCGGGACTACGTTAGCTGCTTTCCAAATATCTGGCAGTTCCCCCGTTGCCAGTGATTTGTTATACACTATGGAGAGTGGTAGGCTCAGTTCTCTTGCTCCTTCCTTTAGAACCCAAGGGGAGATTCCATCTGGGCCTATAGCCTTCGTCACGTCCAACTCTAGTAAACACTTCCTTACTTCCCCACTGGTAATCTCAAACTCTTCCAGTGGTTCCTGGTTAGCTATTCTGGTTGGTTTTGGTTGTGTTTTGGTTGTGTTTTCTGGTTAGTTTTGGTTGTGTGTGTGTCTGTGTGTGTGTCTGTGTGTGTGTCTGTGTGTGTGTCTGTGTGTGTGTCTGTGTCTGTCTGTCTGTCTGTCTCAACAGTGTTTTTGTCTAAAATCATTGTTGCACTTGAAGTCATGCCTGACAGGCTAATTTTGTGTTCTAGCGATTGTTGTCTCCTCCATTTGTCCGGGTTGTGATATATTGCTCTTAGGTTTAGTTACTTTTTCTTAAGGGTTCTTACCCTGGAAACACAAACCGAAACTGTCTCCATTTTCCGCTTGTTACAACTTGTAATAAAGTTGTTACATCTTGGCTTAACGTGTTTATGACGTATTAGAACGTTGTTACAACTTGCTATATTGGTTGTTATAACTGGTTAGGAGGTGTTAAAACTTGTTCAAACGTTGTACCAACGTCGTAGTTTCGGTGTGTGTTTGGCGGGTAGTTACTTTTTCTTAAGGGTTCTTAGTTACTTTTTCTTAAGGGTTCTTAGTCACTTTTTCTTAAGGGTTCTGACAGTACAGTTGGGTTCGCTGTCAACTCTCAATCGAGAATCAACAGAACTTAAACACCTAACATATGCCTATATATATATGCCCAATATGCTAATATATTATAATATTAATTTATATTTGAGACAATTCCTGTTTTGAATGAACAGCATGTAAAAAATTATGGTTGCGTCTGAGGGGTCGATCGCTGGATGTAATGGACCTTAGTCGAGGACGGATTGTAGTGTGTTACTCACGTACTACCGTACTACATACTACTAGGGGCCTGTCAGCTGAGTGGACAGCGCTCGGGATTCGTAGTCCTGAGGTTCCGGGCTCGATCCCCAGCGGAAACAAGTGGGCAGAGTTTTGGTTACCCTGATGCCTCTGTTCACCTAGCAGTAAATATGTACCCAGGAGTTAGACAGTTGTTACGGGCTGCTTCTTGGGGATGTGTGACAAAAAGGAGGCCTGGTCGAGGACCGGGCCGCAGGGACGCTAAAGCCCCGAAATCATCTCAAGATAACCTTTCAAGAAGATAACCACTTGGCCTGGACGGTAGAGCGACGTCTCGCTTCATGCAGGTCGGCGTTCAATCCCCCGACCGTCCAAGTGGTTGGGCACCATTCTTTACCCTGGTCCCATCCCAAATCCTTATCCTGATCCTTTCCAAGTGCTATATAGTCGTAATGGCATGGCGGTCTCCCCTGATAATTCCCTCCCCCTCCCTCATCTAGCAGACAGTAGGTACCAAGGAGTTAGTGAGCGTGTAGCATGCTGCTGGGTCAGTAAGTCGCCCTCGGGGGTTAGACCTCCATATAAGGCTAACGTGTATAAACACACAATGGCTGTCTGTCCCCCCAACACAATGAATTATGAATTATTGAATTAAATTCGTACTTGACATCTTGTCCCAGCCTCCTTGGCTGTTAGCTGATGTCACCAACCAATGATTGAACTTGAAATATACTCAGCCAATATTGTCCTTTATCTACCAAATATTAGAAAAGCGCAACTGAGTTTTACAAGATTACTGATAAATTAAAGTTGTAAATTAATGTTTTGTATCGAGAAATATAAATTAATGAACGGAGTTGAGGTAGAGGCGTCGGAAAAGAGGTTGTTTGTGGGGACATGTTTGGTGGTGGTGGCGCACATGGCGGGTCGCCTGGGTAACGGCCGCGCCGCCACCATACACAAACACACCGCCGGTGGAGGTGGACGGACTCCCTGACGCTCCTCCTCCTCCTCCTGCTGCAGGAGTGTTCACGCCTCCTACCTGCAGGTCCTCCTACCACACCGCCAGTTTGTTTAATCCCCCGGGCCGGGGAGGAGGCTCCGTGAGGAAGAGGGAGTCGGGTCGTTCGAGTGATCGCGGGCGATTTTCTGCGACAGATCGCCCAGAGTCGTAATTGGAGGGCAACGATTGATGACTCCTGTGTGTGTGTGGGACCTATTGGTGCTGTGTGGGACCTATTGGTGCTGTGTGGGACCTATTGGTGCTGTGTGGGACCTATTGTTGCTGTGTGGGACCTATTGGTGCTGTGTGGGGCCTATTGGTGCTGTGTGGGACCTATTGGAGCTGTGTGGGACCTATTGGTGCTGTGTGGGACCTATTGGTGCTGTGTGGGACCTATTGGTGCTGTGTGGGACCTATTGGTGCTGTGTGGGACCTATTGGTGGTGTGTGGGACCTATTGGAGCTGTGTGGGGCCTCCTGATGGGCACCCACGGAGCCAAGTCGAGTTGTGTACCGAGGGGCACTTATATTGAACTTGAAATGGTAATTTAAGGTCTTGGGCGAAGAACACAGTTGACATAGTGACAGTGATGGTGTTTTAAGACGTTATCCTGATTGACGTGACCTTGCTGGGTCGACCATGAGGGCGTGAGGTAGGCCCACTGACTCGTGAAGGCAGCACCGGGGTAAGTAGGCCTATACGGCTTTATTTCATCCTTCAGCCTATACGGCTTTATTTCATCCTTCAGCCTATACGGCTTTATTTCATCCTTCAGCCTATACGGCTTTATTTCATCCTTACGCTGTATAGTTCGTTTATTATGCACCCCATACCCATCTTGTGGGCAAGGGTTACAGAGGCACATAATGGGCTCAGGGACTGAACAACATAGTTCATTTAGCTAAGCAAGTTACAATCTTGATGAGCTAGTTACAAAATTCAGTACAAGTCGTCACATCAACAATGGGTTCGAGATCGACCACAAGTACAGTTTCTAAATTAAGCAACTGACATATGTAGAGAGCTAGTGTCACAATTGATATGTTTGTCCTGCACACCGCCCCCCATCCAGTGGGCAGCGGTGGATAGGTTACAGTCACTTAGTTACTACCTACAGTTAGCAAACTGGGGATATTTGGCTAAAATTTCTAATAGCAGGTCATTTTGAATGAAATATTTACACATCGTTGGAACATTTGGTTATAGAATTGTCTCTGAATTCACGTATCTTTTCGCACTCCATCACATAGTGACGGAGGGTGTGCGAATAATTTTGTTGACACAGTTTACATTTGGTCAGGTCTACATCAGCAGATAATGAGAATTCCCAGAGATACTTGTGACCGAGTCTAAGCCGAGCAGTAGTAACATCTAGAAGTCTGCTGATTTTATTGGATGATCCATAGATGTGTGGCTCCTCTTGCATGATAGTATGATGATAGATGGAATTACTGGTGTCGATTTCACTTTGCCTCAGATCTACAAGATCTTGTTGAAGTTCTCGGTGTACTGCTGCTCTCAGATTGCTCATTGACAATCCAAGGTTACACTCAACGGCTCCTTTAAAGGCAGAATCTTTGGCTAACTTATCAACTCTATCATGCATTCGGAGGCCAACATGAGATGGAGACATGAAATGGACTGTTACCATCATTAATAATTCCATAACTCTTTCTTGTGGCTTCACCCACATAGGCTTCAAAGATAAGAAACACTCCTTAGCCAGTGATAACGACAGCCAGCGACCCTGCCTCGGGTAACAATTTCTGACCTTTGGAAAAAAAATTGAGGAAGACCTTGTTGGTCAGCGCGTCAAATGTCGCGTTCGTGTCGGAATTGTTGACATTTCGAACGTTCGGTGTTCATATGTCCTTAGTGTTTTTGAGGAATGGTTTTGTTGTGAGGTGTGTTTTGGGAAGGGGGGGGGGGGAGCAAACTCACACTAGCTAGCTAATATGAGTGCATGTTTGAGGTCTGCAATGTTTACTGCTGGTAGGCTGAGTTTGGCACCTGGGGCAGGTCTCCTTGTTTAGTGTTCTGTTATGTTTTATGGTGTGTGGAGAGCGGCAGGTTCTGTGTAGTGTGGAGGTGTTGTGGTTGTGTAGTGTGTGTGTGGAGGTGTTGTGGTTGTGTAGTGTGTGTGTGGAGGTGTTGTGGTTGTGTAGTGTGTGTGTGGAGGTGGTGTGGCTGTGTAGTGTGTGTGGAGGTGTTGTGGCTGTGTAGTGTGTGTGTGGAGGTGTTGTGGCTGTGTAGTGTGTGTGGAGGTGTTGTGGCTGTGTAGTGTGTGTGTGGAGGTGTTGTGGCTGTGTAGTGTGTGTGTGGAGGTGTTGTGGCTGTGTAGTGTGTGTGTGTGGAGGTGTTGTGGCTGTGCAGTGTGTGGAGGTGTTGTGGTTGTGTAGTGTGTGTGTGTGGAGGTGTTGTGGCTGTGCAGTGTGTGTGTGTGGAGGTGTTGTGGTTGTGTGTGTGTGGAGGTGTTGTGGTTGTGTAGTGTGTGTGGAGGTGTTGTGGTTGTGTAGTGTGTGTGTGTGGAGGTGTTGTGGTTGTGTAGTGTGTGTGTGGAGGTGTTGTGGTTGTGTAGTGTGTGTGTGTGGAGGTGTTGTGGTTGTGTAGTGTGTGTGTGTGGAGGTGTTGTGGTTGTGTAGTGTGTGTGTGGAGGTGTTGTGGTTGTGTAGTGTGTGTAGGTGTTGTGTAGTGTGTGTGTGGAGGTGTTGTGGTTGTGTAGTGTGTGTGTGGAGGTGTTGTGGCTGTGTAGTGTGTGGGTGGAGGTGTTGTGGTTGTGTAGTGTGTGTGTGGAGGTGTTGTGGCTGTGTAGTGTGTGGGTGGAGGTGTTGTGGCTGTGTAGTGTGTGTGTGGAGGTGTTGTGGCTGTGTAGTGTGTGTGTGGAGGTGTTGTGGTTGTGTAGTGTGTGTGTGGAGGTGTTGTGGCTGTGTAGTGTGTGTGTGTGGAGGTGTTGTGGTTGTGTAGTGTGTGTGTGTGGAGGTGTTGTGGTTGTGTAGTGTGTGTGTGTGGAGGTGTTGTGGTTGTGTAGTGTGTGTGTGTGGAGGTGTTGTGGTTGTGTAGCGGCCCGGTCCTCGACCAGGCCTCCACCCCCAGGAAGCAGCCCGTGACAGCTGACTAACTCCCAGGTACCTATTTACTGCTAGGTAACAGGGGCATTCAGGGTGAAAGAAACTTTGCCCATTTGTTTCTGCCTCGTGCGGGAATCGAACCCGCGCCACAGAATTACGAGTCCTGCGCGCTATCCACCAGGCTACGAGGCCCGAGACTAAGACTAACCCAGGAATTTTTTAATCAACATACAAGATAATCCGGAGGTCACCTGGGCTGACCTCTTGGAGAAGGCTTCCCTGGGTAAGAATTCTAGGGGGGGGGGGGTCATGGGTGTTACAGAAGGGAGCTGCGGCAGAAAAGGCAATTAGAGGCGCGGGCACGTGCCTCTAATTGCTCTATATGTGCCCCTAAATGCTCTATATGTGCCTCTAAAGTGTTTTATACACTATCACATAACAGTAAATGGGTGCCCAGGAGTTAGGCAACTTGTGTGGGGTTGTATCCTGGGACAGTCAGAGTCTGAAAGGTATCCTGACCTTAATTATGGGGAAAACCATAGTACATAGTAGTACAGCTGGGTTCGTTCTCGACACACAATCGGGGGATCCTAGGTTGGAATTCCGGGCGGGACATAAATAGTTGGGCGCTCTTTCTTTTACCTAATGCCTTTCAACATTGGCTGTTTCTTATCTCCAGCAGATTTAAGAGAGTGGAGTTTGCTGCGAAGGAAGCTATTCCCACTTGTCCCATTTCCCGTAGAGGTATTTCTTATTTCGACTTCTACCCAGTTATTCGTTCCTCCATCCTTGCTCGTTGGCAGGGCTGTTGGTCTTCTGTTACTGGTAGCAAACTGCGTGCTCTTAACTCAAGAGTAGTGTGTCCCTGTGGCCTTTCTCCTACTACCGTAACCGGTGGTGGGAAACGGCTCTGGCGAGGTTGCGTATTGGCCATACACGCTTAACTCGCGGTCACTTAATGGAGCGCCGCCCTGCTCCTTATTGTCCAAACTGCATTGTCCCTCTTACAGTAGGACATATCCTTGTTGAATGTCCTGACTTCAGGGACGCGCGTGTGTCTTGTTTCCGACCGTCCCTCGCGGTCACTTGTCCCTCGAGAGAATTCTTGGTGAGTCACATACCTTTGATATCGTTCGAAGGTAGGTGATTCGATATCGTTATGTGCTTTTGTTCTGGTATTGGCATTCTTAGTGATATTTGGCGCCCTCTGATATCCCGCACATTGGGGGGGGGGGGGGGGGGGAGGGGACTGGGGTGAGGGTTGGTAGTGTGTGGCAGGATCAGGAAGGCTTGATGTTGCACGATGCAACACAAACTTGACAGTTTTCGTTGTGGGGGGGGGGGGAGATTGTAGGCCTAGCTAGGATCGGATTTTACACGGCCCACTTTATGCTTCTATATTATTGCGGGCCGGAGGAGGGGGGGGGAGGAGTTAGTCTAAGAACAATGGGAAGGCGGTGCCGGGAGTCTAGGTCGACCCTGCAAGCACATCTACCTGAGTATACACACACACACCCACACAGAGACGACCTGCGGGTGAAGTAAGTTAGCACCTTGTGGGATGCCGCTGGTAATGTAAACACAAGACGACGATTTACAGTAAGTCATTATACATGCCTACCATGTATGTATAATGACTTACTGTAAATATATAGCTCTTGATATAGAGCATTCTCTGTAACTAGCTGACATTGTAGTTATAAGGTGTGAAGGATAGATGAAATTGTTTATGTAATGATCTAAGTTCAGGTCTGATAAAGACCTTTTGTGCCCTCTGTAACGCTTTTTGCGCTACCGCTCACAGGATGAGTATGGGGTGCACAATAAACCAGCCACCTCCGGCGGCAACCATCAAGACGGCGCCACGTAGTGAGCACTACTGTTAAGTCACTACCCTTGTGGAAGAGAAAACATGCACTCCCTTGACCATTATATTGTAGAATGTCCCATATTGACTGACTTTCGCCCTCCTGGGCTAAGGTATGCTGAACTCTGTAACTACTATGTCAATACTGGAACACTTGATGATATATTGGACTTGTACAGAAGATTGACTTTGTAATGCATCACTTATATAATGTGATGTAACTATATAACCTGAGCTTGTGAAAGCATCTTAATCACCTTCAATGGTTAAGTGTTTAATAACACACTAGTTTCTATAGAAGCTATCTTAGCCTGTCAAAGGAGGAGTATGTGTATGTACTAGTTGTGGTGGTAATGGTGGTGGTAGTGGTAGTGGTGGTGGTAGTGGTAGTAGTGGTAGAAGGCATCCATCAGTCACAGGAGACTATAGAGTTGGGCTCTGGTTGTAAGTCTGGAGTGGCCTCTCCAGGGCACAGAGCCAGCTGTGTATTCATCTAGTTGTGCTTGGGGGGGGGGGGTTGAGCTCTGGCTCTTTGGGCCCGCCTCTCAAGCGTCAATCAACTGATGAGCACAACACAACTGGTGTGTGTGTGTGTGTGTGTGTGTGTGTGTGTGTGTACAAGATATGTGGAAACTGGCCAGAGTTGCATTTCACCTTTGTCAACACACGTAAATGACACTATGTGAAAAGACACCTCGAACACTGTTCATGTTAGACAGACGTAAATATGTGTATTTATGTACATAGGTT